GACTTTAATCCCATGCCTGGTGTCACAGACCATCCTGATTCAAATTGTGTTTTAACTGAATTCTGCCAGCTGCATTAAATCATAAAACTTGTCCGTGTTTCTCTACAGTTTAAAGAAAGCATTTTTGCATTACTAGCATGATAAAGGAATGTGTTGAGAAAACAAACAAATATCAAATTGACTGCACTGTTAATATCACCTGCATTGCTGCTCCCTTGTCCTGGTGCTCAGAGCTGTGACTGTGGAGGAGACTCTCTGCCTTCCCTGTATGGCCAAACAAGGGATGGAGTGACCCACGGGACAGGTTTTATTTATCACCAAACAGAAAAGGAATTATCAGTAGGTGCACTGTTGTAAAAGTGTGTCCTTACCTTGGTTTGTTTAACCCAAGCTGAAAAAACAGGTCTAATTTGGATTTGAAGTGGACGTGACATCCAACACTATGGCCATTTCCCCACACTTTCCCCCCTGAGAGCCCCTTTCTTTTGTGCCACGGATAGAAGTTTTTCCAGATTATGTTTCTCCATAATGTTCAATAATTCTTTCTTTCTCTGTCCTCCTTGCATCCATCTCGTTCCTGACACCCATCTTTTTCTCCATAGTGATTTCAAGATTCTCCTTCTTTCATTTCCCCTTCTCCCCTTCTCCTCAGTAACCCCATTTCATAGAGCACTGCAGAGAGCAGACTCTGCCCTGGGCAGTGCCAGGAGTGAGGTGTGAAACCCTCTGCAGTGACAGAGAAACCATCCCTCGGTGGTCACACAGATCTCACTGCCTCCTTGACGCTGCCAACCAATGGGAGCACCAGGATTTGTATCCTGCCCTGAGAAAAAGCAGGGCACGTATTAGGCAAACTAATCACGCTGCAGGGATTTGTGTAATGAAAAGCACCTTTGCTCAGGGCTCAGAAGTGGTGTGAATCAACCACACACAGTTGCCAGGGGCAAATTCACCTGCTATCTCCTTGTTCTCTTGTGTCGTATTCATTGTTGCAGCATCTCAGCCTCTAGGAGCAGATAGCAGAGCCTGGCCGCCCCATGATTAAGGCGCTCAGTCTGTCTCAGGGCAATCGGAAGTGATTTACAGAGGGCTGGCTTCCCCCTGTGCCTGCAGCCCTGTCTGTTCCCTAATGCAAACAAAGTAATGCAGACTCAATGATTGCTGTCATTTCCATGTGCCTACTGCTGATCTCTTAATGAAATATTCCACTTAAATTGCAGTGGCACAAGCACAGTTCCCTGCTGGCAGGAGCTGCAAAACCGGAGTACCCAGTGAAAAGGTTCTGCAGTACAAAGGAAAGCTGGTAGTGAAACACTGCCTGACTGTTTTTGTGCCTGCTCCTGCAATAAACACAACACCTGCCAGGCTTTCTGAAGGGTAAGAAGAGAACAGAGGATGGAAATTGCCTTTATCTCAGGTTGGGACACGGGAAAACCAGCTGAAATGAGGATGACAGTCTGTGGGGATATGGCTTTGGCATTTATGGATGGGTGAGTGGTGTCTGCTCAGTGCTGCTGTAACAGCCTTGCTCCCTCCTGTCAAATCCTGCTGGGAGCACTGCTGCAGAAGAGAAACACTGGGAACATGCAGCACCACACAGACTCTTTGTTTACCTATTGTCACAAGCAGTAAACCAAATATTGGTGGGGGGAAAGCTAAAAATCTGTTCAATGACCAAATGTGTGTTGCAGGAAATAGGAGGAGTAAAATTACTGAAAGCAGTGGGGTTTTTAAAAGTTGACTATATTGTACACTCAGTCTGAAATAAAGACAAATAGATACCAAACATGTTCTTCACTGTTCCAGAGATGAACAAGAGCATCCAGCTCACCTTTCTTTGGGCCATCAGCTCTTGCAGAATTGCATGGCATAAGTGGAGGTCTCTAAATTTTGCCTCTGCTCTGGCCTTGCACACCTCACCCCTTGCCCAGCCTCCTCCCAGCACTGATCACAAGCAAGCAGTCACTGGCTACAGGCACTGCAGGGTCCCAGGAGCTGATGTAGGACTAGAGAGCACCATCTGAAATCAGGGAATTCACACAGTCTGCCTGGGTCACAGCACCCACTGCATCCTACCTGGGGTGAGGAAATGCTGAAGGTGATGATGAGTTTGTGGTTGACTGATAGAAATACTTTTCTCCTAAATAAAAGCCTATTTTAAGAGCAAATTTTTCAAAGCTAACTAGGTGGAAAGTAATGGAACAGGAGCTGTGATTTAGTCCAGCTACTCTACCAAACCCTCCTATTATTTCCTGGATGATTCCTGTCCTACAGTTTTTCATGGTAGCTAACACTAAAAACTGCTTCAGCAGGCGAGAAATCAGCCCTCTTCAGTGCTGACCCACTAGTAATGGTTGAGAGGGGCATTATCTTCCCTGTTCCATCAGTACAAGGCAAATGAGGGAGGCACTTTCCTTCAGGGAACCAGGGCTGTGTTAGAGACACAGGAAGAAGGGAACAATGCCCAAGATTTGCATTTGCTGAAGGGCTCAGCACATTGCTCCCTTGTGAGCCGGCCAAGACCGACAGCACATGAATCCTTGTGATTCATCCTTCCCCCTGGTCTACCTCTCTGTATCCAGCACGGCACAGAGAACTCTGTGTGTTTATTTATACACAAAAAGGTCTTTACTTGGTGCTGTAGTATTTGGGTGCTTGGCTCAGGCTCCTAAGATGGAGCAGGGGTACAGACTGATGTGTTGAACCAGTATTTTCCACTTTTCTGCCAGACTGCTGGGTGACCCTGGGCAGTTTACAGCAACTTCACCTCTCACCACCTCAGTTTCTGTAAAATTATCCTGCTTAACTTTGAATGGAGTGTAGCTGTCAACTGATGCAAGGGCAGGGTATGTTGTTTACATGTGACTCAAATAAAACCAGTGCCTAAAACCTGAAAGCAGCAAGATAGAAAAATTGAGAAAGAACAGAGCAGAAATGTGAAATTGTTCCTCTGCCTCAGCTTTTCTCTGCCTGCTGCCCTTCCTAAACACAGGCAATTACAGTCCAGCCCCACCATACAATTTACTCCCTGTCAGCCACACTGAGAAGTTCAGGCTACCCCCCAAGGCATCATAAATGACAGGTAAATAAGCCCACACATGTTAGGAAGAGTCTCTTTAAAGGTTACAGTTTTGCTGTGCTGAAGAACGCACGTTTCAGGGCAGATATTTCCCTTTGGAAGGCTCTGGGTATGGAAACCTGGCACGAAGGGCAGGTGTTCAGGAAGGACACATTGCAGGCACTGATGCCGTGTCAGCTGTGCCTGCCCAGACTGTCGTTAGTGGTTTAAGGGGAAGCATAACCCAGGGATGCAGGAGTGCATAACCCAGGGATGCAAGAGTGCATAACCCGGAGATGCAGGAGTGCATAACCCAGGGATGCAGGAGTGCATTACCCAGGGATGCAAGGGGCATAACCCAGGAAAGCAGGGATGAACAACCCAGGGATGCAGGAGTGCACAACCCAGGGATGCAGGACTGCATAACCCAGGGATGCACAACACGGTGAGGCTGCCGGTCATGGACGTGTCAGGCAGATGGACTCTAAGCTGTTGAAAAGGCTCATGAGTTTCTGCTGCTCATGAACATCATATACAGAAACTACAAATAACTTCTCCTGGAGTTTGCAGGAAGCCCTGTCTAAGGGTTCTGTCTGTCTCGGGGTTGAGCTGTGGAGCAGCTGAGAAGCAGACACCAGCTGCCCGTTGGGGGCAGGAGGCAGACACGGAGCAGAGCCCAGCACGGCCTCTGCAGGACCTGCTGCTCTCGCAGGGGCTGACCCTGCGTGTGAAGTGTCGCTTGCACCGTACACGGGCTCCCAGCGTTTTCTCTTCCGAGTGTTTCTTTAGCTGTTTTCTCCGACTTTGGCAGATCGAAAGCTGCATCTGGAGAAGGTTTGAACGTATCCAGCCCTTTCAAAATCCCCCGTTGTCAGAGGGGTGAAAACCCCCTCACTCTGCAGTCCCACACCTGGCCGTAGGTGTGTGCGTGCCCACAGCCTGCCCGGCAAGGGCTTCCCAACCCTTGCGGAGCCAGGAGCAGGCGGAACGCCCGTCCGTGTGCCTGCTCCCGCCGTGTCCTGCCCCCGTGTCACCTGAGCACGTAGGGCTGCGGCCATGCCTGTGTCCCCTGGGCAAGCCCGGCTTCCAGCGCCGACCGTGCCGGCTGCACACGGAGCGCGGCGTGCCGGGCTGCGGGAGTGTGGGGTGTGAGGATGCGGGAGCGTGTGAGTGAGGGTGAGAGGGTGAGTGTGAGTGTGAGAGCAGTGTGTGTGAGTGAGGCTGAGAGGGTGAGTGTGAGTGAGAGCAGTGTGTGTGAGGGTGAGAGGGTGAGTGTGTGTGTGTGAGCAGTGTGTGTGAGTGAGGCTGAGAGGGTGAGTGAGTGAGAGCAGTGTATGTGAGTGAGAGCAGTGTGTGTGAGTGTGAGCAGTGTGTGTGTGTGAGCAGTGTGTGTGTGAGTGAGCCGTGTGTGAGTGAGCAGTGTGTGTGCGTGAGAGCAGTGTGTGAGTGAGAGCAGTGTGTGTGAATGAGCCGTGTGTGAGTGAGCAGTGTGTGTGCGTGAGAGCAGTGTGTGTGCGTGTGAGCAGTGTGTGTGTGTGAGAGCAATGTGTGTGAGTGAGGGTGAGAGGGTGAATGTGTGTGTGTGAGCAGTGTGTGTGCATGAGAGCAGTGTGTGTGTGTGTGAGCAGTGTGTGTGTGAGCAGTGTGCGTGTATGTGTCTGTGTGTGTCTGTGTCTGTGAGTGAGCAGTGTGTGTGTGTGAGCAGTGTCTGTGTGTGTGAGCAGTGTGTGTGTGAGCAGTGTGTGTGTGTGTGAGCGCAGTGTGTGTGCGCCCTGGCCCTCACCGTGCCCCCTCCCCTCGGAGCCGGGCAGCTCCGCGCTGTGGGGTGCCCCGTCCCTATCCCGGGGTGCCCCGTCCCTATCCCGGGGTGCCCCTGCCCCGCCGAGCCGAGCCGTGCCGTGCCGGTCCGGGCCGTGCCCGGGCGGGGCGGGGCGGTGGGAGGGGGCTGGCCGCGGGCCGTGGCGCGGCGGGCGCAGAGCGCGGCGGACACCGCTCCGCTCCGTGAGCCGCCGCGGGGGCGGTCGGCGCTGCCTTCGCTCCCCGCCGCGGAGCCGCCGCGCCGCCGGAGCCGGGATGTGACTTGCGGAGGGCTGGCGGACAGAGCTGCCCCGCCGCCCTCGGCCGCAGCAGACAGCGGGTGAGCCGGCGGCGGGCGGGGGGACAGCGGCCCGGGACCGGCTCCGGGGGTGCGCCCGGGGAAGGGCTGCGGGCCGGGGCGCGGAGCGGAGCCGCTCACCCGGCTCTGCGCCCTGCGCTGCCCGCAGAATTAGCTCGGTGGCCGCCAGCAGACAACAGGCTGGATATAGGAATCCTGGTGGGGATTAGGCGGGATATAGGGCAGGACGGGGGGGCTCGGAGCAGGGGGCTGCGCTGCGGGGAGCGGGGCGGCAGGCTGGCGAGGAGGGCAGTGGAGTTCGGAGAGGATGGGGAAGAGGAGCGGGGACAGGCGGGGGAGGAAAGGACGGGGAAAAGAAACCGAAGAGAGAAATGAGCGAAGGGACAAAGGAGCGGAGGCTGGAGCGGGATAGGTATGGTCCAGCGGGAGGAGGCTGCCGGCGGATTACGGCGAGCCCCGAGCGGAGGCAGCGCGCCCCGGCCGCACGGAGCGGCCGCTCGGCCTCGCAGCGCCGTGCTGCGCGGGGCGGCTGCGGCCAAGGCCGGCACCTCATCGCCTTCCCCAGCGGGGGCTCAAGGGCAGTGGCAGGGAAGAGGCCGAGGGGGAAGAACCTTTTGTTGGCCCCCGGCCGCGGTCCGGTCCCGGGGCTGGCGGGGCTCCGGCTGGGTGCGGGTGCGCAGAGTTTTCTCTCTAGTTAATAGAAGCCCTCTCTCTGTGTTACCTCTCCGCAAAGCCACGCAGAGAGAGGATTTAGCACTTATGTGAACCCTTTGTTTACACCTGCCCTTAATGTTTATCCCAAGGCTAACAGGATTTCCTGCGTGCTGAACCCAAACACCCAGCTTGGCGATCAGCGCTAGCCCCGAGTAGCTGTACCGGGGATCCCCTTGCTGCTTACCAGCAGGGAGTACCAGGGTTGAGGTGTTGTCTCGCTACATCAGGAGAAACCCGGTGACAGAACCCATCTGCTAGAAGGCTATGACGTGAATAGAAACAGTCTGAGAATTAGCAAAGAAAATAAAAAGGTTGATTGCTGTAATTGATTGCTGTCGCTTGTGAATTCAACACCAGGCACTGTGGTCAGAAGTACCTAGGCACACGTGATACACTGATTCTGACCAAAGGGAATTCAGCTCCTAGAAAATTAGAAAGATAATTTCATAGTGAATTCAGCATCACAAAGTATTTCTAAATGAAAGCAATACTTTTTCTACATGTCCTTTTTGGAGTGGGGTCTTGCCTTGCGTAACTGCGAGGCTGTAACAGAGCATGATGTGTGTCTGATGCAGGGGCTGTCAAAATCACTGCTGCATTTTTGCCTACAATGCACAATTGCACTATTAATTATTATTCTGGAAATACACACGTCTCTTGAGTGGTCTGATCTCAGCTTGGCTGTTGCTGCTCTGTTATCAGTCCTGGAGCTCATTCTTCAGTTCTGATCAAAAGCAGCTGGCAGAGATCCTGTGTTGTGATTAATTCCTCACTCACTCGCATCTCTCCACAACACTTCGTGGCGGGGGTGGTTTTCTTTTGGAAATTGCACCGTGATACAAGTCTTCTGCCTGTGTGGTTACTATTTGTGCTACTATTGCTTATATTTACTAGATTGTTTTTCTTCTCTGCTATTGAATGCATCTCCCTGTGTCAGTTGACTAACATTTGAACTCCAGGTACAAAAGCAGATAATGCATCTAACCATGAATAGCCTAACCTTAACTCTTTGCACAATTGCACATTTATTCTGTATATATATTCTGTAGCAGCATACAGCTGCTTTGATCCCTTTGCAAGCTTTGGTCAGGATACTTTAGCTACAGAAAGCCTCATTGATTTTTAACTGTGACAACTTTTTGATGACAACTGTGAGATTTTCTATTTCTGCTTAGTTGCTTGTAATTGTAGTTTGTACCCGCTGGGGCGGCTTTGTGTCTGCAATTTCTGTAGTGACTCTATGCCAGATAATGTAATGAAGGGACCTCACTCTGTAGAAAACAGTGGAGTTATTACAGCTGTCATTGAGAGCAGATTTTGAGCCAAAAATTGAGTACTAGATTGAAATAGTAGCTGTCCTGCTAATTGTTCACTGCTTTTGCCTAAAATGTGTAAGGCTTATTGATTAGAATATTGATTGCAAGTGTTCCTGATTGCTCTGGTTTCAGGTATGTTGCCTTAATGGCTTTACCGAAGTGAAGTTTTGGAGAGGAATCTGGAGGGGAAAAAAAAAATCTCAAGTTCTTTTGTTCCCTGTGAACAGTTCACTGCAGAGTGCAGGGGATGTACTGGTGCCACTGGCTGTATCTGTGCTGGAATGTCTCTGTGGCTCTCCTGTGTTGCTGTCTGCTCTGGCTGCAGGAGTGGAGTGCCAGCCGAGTAGAGCGCTATTGTTACTACTGTGAGGTTGCATAACTTTAGCAGGAGCTAATCTAGACATAAAGATGTAAAAATACTCTTCCTCTACAGTTACTGATTTAAGTAACAACCAGCAAGAATGTGCAGTAAAATTTGACTATAAAATCTCAAGAGGCACAGAACTCTGCCATCCTACCCACTGCATAGGCTTGAGGAAGATTCTATTTTAATAAAACCCCCATAATGATGTATTTCTGGTTTTTGCAAAAACAACTTTTCTGGGGGAAAAAAAAAAAAAAAAAAACCAAAAAAAAAAAAAACCCCCCTTCACAGTTTTCCCTTAAAATGATTGAATGTGTAGCTAAAGTTGTGATGTTCACTTGCCGAACTTGTGTGTTGTAATGCAGTGCTTCCCCTTGTTTTTATAACTGTCTGTATTCAGTGCTGAGTATCAGCACTAGAAAGAGGAGGTTTTTTGGCTGGTAATGTGTCAGGGAGTAGATTATTAATATTGCCTGTTTTTACCCAGTTAGGCAGAAAGTGATAGTAAACAGGTTAGAAACAAACTGCTTTGTTGATAGCAGTTATGAGACTTCAAGCTCTGCTTTCCAGCTTTGCTCTGGGCAGGATCTAGTGTTTAGTGAGATTCACTGACACTGGGTAGGGAATTATTTCATCAGGAGTAGCTGTCAGCAGTCCTAGAGATTTTCTTGGTCAGTACTGTGGCTGTCTGGGACCTTTCTAAGAGGACCACTGATTATGTCCCATCAGCTTTCCCAAAAGCACAAAGTAACTTGGGGAAATTCCTCTTGAGTTGAAGACCTCTGTATTTCAGAACTTGTATTTTGAATTCTGAGTATATTTTGTCACAGCTTAATTCCCCCTTTCCAAACCGAACCACTTCTTCATGGAGGGGGAAATATTCAAATTCATTAACCCTCCCTTCCCCCTCCCAAACACTTCCAAATGGGAAGAGGAAACAAATGATGGCCTGACAATATGACTGCTTACCCATGCAGCACAATCTCCATGGAAACAGACTGTCCTAGAATAGCTCAATCACATGAGGGTTACATGACGTGAATAAAGTAACCAGAAAACTGGAAAATATCTTAGAACTGGGGATACTTGCACTTAATTAATTACCCCCCAGGTCTTTGGAGAGTAGCTAATAAACAAAGCTAGTATTGAAAGCAATTTAGTCCATGCTCATCACAATTTGTAAGTGATGGGATAGTGGAAAATTAACATGACCCTCACTTTGGGGCTGTTTATTGTTTCTAGTTTGGGTGACATTTAGAATGAATTTTGAATCATTTTCCACATGACCTCCTACTTCTTAAAATGGTACCACTGGTTTGGGGCATTGCCTTAGTAGGTCCCAGTGGATTTCCCCCTTTTGTGTCAGCAGGCACTGACCATTTCACACTTTTTAGGACGTTTCAAAGACTCTAAAGAGGAAATTCACTAGTTGCAGTAGGAATTGACTGTGCATGAAAGGAATTGGAGAACTATCTTCGGAATGTTTTCTTCTAGTTAATTATGTACTCAAAGGGCAAGGAGATTTATTGAGCGTATATTCAATACAAAAATGAATATATTTCACTGATAATTAGTTTTCTGTCTGTAAAGTCAGTGTTTTTAATGTGGGTGTTGCAACAGAATCATTGAAGAACCTGTTACACAAATCAGATATAAACAAGTGTATGTTCTACCAATCCCCCATGAAGTAAATTACAGATAGGTAGAAAAAACAAATAATTTGTCCTTAGCAGGTCATTGCATCGTTAGAACATTGCAGCCCTTCCAATAGTGCAAAGATTAATATCTGTGGGCTGGCAGAGATCACCCATTACCCATTTACTGTTTGTCCAAGCCCACATCACATTATTTGTCACAGCTTCCACTTCTGAGATGAAGGTTTGTAATAGGATGTTTTGTACCCTGTGTGGGTGCAGACCATAGAGTCATTACAGGTTTATATTGGTATGTTTGCTCTCTTGGTGCCCCTGATAGGAAACATCATCAACAACTTCATCATCTGTCTCCTGATAGAGGCTGGACATGGCCATTGGTCATGACACAAGGAAACATTGGTTTGAGGATTCAGAGCCTCAGGATTTAACTTTGGTCATTACAGGACTGTAAATCCATAGTTCTCAGCTCTAAGAGACACAGTACAGTTTCAGACAGTCTGTGTAAATAGCTTTTGTGTTGGTTATGACTGTTTGTGCTCAATGCAACACTGCACCACTACTTTAAATCATTTTCAACTCTCATTAAAGTTTTCCAAGTTTCCATTAAAAGCAGTTCTAATCTATGAAATCTCTTTAAACAGGTAACCATTTAGGGCTGTTGTATGGTTTACAGAAGAGCTCCTGATAGTTTCTCTGCTTTTCACTTTGCACCCTAAACATGTCCCATGATCTGTGTGAGTCACCTTGACTAACATCCCTGCCTGCTTGTGTGCTGCTTTTCTTCCTCGTGGTCATGCAGTGCCAGTGGGAGTCTGAAACGTCCCCCACATCAATGAGGAAAATCCTGCTGGAACCTGCAGCACTAACTGCTGGTGAAGGTTAACAGAGTCAGGTTTCATATCTGCTCCTCACAGTGTTTGCTCCAGACTGCCTTACAGGGCTGTGGCTGTGGCAGACTGGGAGTTAAAGGTTACATTTTTTTAGTAATCTGCTTTGCTTAATAAAAGCAAACACTATAATGTGTATTTTTAAAGCACCTAACACATGTTCTTCCTAAACCAAGTTGGGATTTGTCTAGGCTTTTGGTCCTGGTGGTGAAGTGGGATGTGCTGGGTTCCTGGAGTGTTTACCATTGTCCACTCTCTGGATCCAAGAAAGAGATGCTCTGGGTTTTGTTATTTGTCTCCTTTGAATGGCTTTGGACTGGCTAAGAAGCACAATGAGGCATTCATTTTTGATTAGTTGATTGATGACACTGCATGTGTGCACCATTGTCGCAGAATATGGGATTTTTCTAGACTACCATTCCCATTTCCAAATGCAATCTAATATCTGGAAGAGGATGAAAGAAGTGAATATGATAACTGCATATTGACCGAGCACGAAAACAAGGTTTTTCTTTTTTTAAGAATGTACAATGTTTATTTTCCTTGGATTGTTTTATCCTTTAAAAAGTAATAATTTTAAAAGAGGTTTTGGCTCTTTGTTCCAGTACAAGGAGCAAGGCTGTGGGACAGTCTCGTTGTGACTGCCTGTGATTGCTTACACCCGCATCAGGCCCAGTGCAACTAAAACATGCTTTAAACACCTTGATTTAAATGGGGTATTACATTTAAACAGCTAGTAAGTGTCCAAGTATTGCAGATAATGTAGTATTTGAAACAGGATACGTAATTGTTTCTGGCTGTGTTGCAGGCCATTTGCAGGGTCAGAGTTTGGAAATGTTGTTTTCAATCTGCGCAAACAGAGCAATTAGTCATTTTGCATTCTGAGTACAACAGGCAAAAGCAGCTTTTGGGAGGGCAGTGAAGGGGGCTGGGGGAGGCTGTGCCAGCTGCAGATCCAGTGCAAAAACTGTAAACATGGGCCACTGGAACAAGCTGGGCTTCAGTGGCTGTGAGATCCTCCAACCTCAGCTCCCGCTAAACAAATACTTTGTTGTCTCAGACAGAAAAATGAAAACCTACCCAGCCATTGGTTTCTTCCTCCTGCTGGTGATCAGCTATGGCTCTTCAGAGAACTCCAGCACTCCCCGGGGCTGCGGGCTGGATCTCCTGCCCCAGTACGTGTACCTGTGTGACCTGGATGCCATCTGGGGCATCGTTCTGGAGGCGGTGGCGGGGGCAGGCGTGCTGACCACGCTGCTGCTGATGCTGATTTTGCTGGTGAGGCTGCCCTTCATCAAGGACAAAGAGAAGAAGAGCCCCCTGGGAATGCACTTCCTCTTTCTCTTCGGGACTCTGGGACTGTTTGGGCTGACGTTTGCTTTCATCATCCAGGAAGATGAAATGGTGTGCTCTACCCGAAGGTTTCTCTGGGGAGTTATCTTTGCTTTGTGCTTCTCCTGCTTGCTAGCCCAAGCCTGGAGACTTGGCAGGCTCGTTCGCCACGGGAAGAGCCCGTCTGGCTGGCACCTGGCCGGGGTGGCCACGTGCCTGATGCTGGTGCAGGTCATCATCGCGACCGAGTGGCTGATCCTGACGGTTGTCAGAGACAACAAGCTGGCCTGCAGCTACGAACCCATGGATTTTGTGATGGCTTCCATTTACGTTATGTTCCTGATGGTCTTTACCATGGGATTTTCGTTTTTCACTCTCTGTGGGAAGTTCAAGAAATGGAAGAAAAACGGAGTATGCCTCATTATAACCCTTTTCTTTTCCATCCTGATTTGGGTAGCCTGGATGACTATGTACCTCTTCGGTAACGCTGAGCTCCAGAGAAGAGACAAATGGAGTGATCCCACTCTGGCCATTGCACTGGTGTCCAGTGGCTGGGTGTTTGTTATTTTTCATGCCATCCCAGAGGTCCACTGTACCATCCTTCCATCACAGCAGGAAAACACACCCAATTATTTTGATACTTCTCAGCCGAGGATGCGTGAAACCGCTTTTGAGGAAGATATACAGCTTCCTCGGAGCTACATGGAAAATAAAGCCTTTTCAATGGATGAACATAATGCAGGTAAAAATTGGCTATAAAGGACTGTATTTTTTTATAGTGTCAAGAAAACTCTCTGTATGAGACATTTTTCAGGTATTGAAAATGAAGGTCATGATAAATACAATAATTTTCACACTACACCTTGTTCCCTTTTATAATTTTCACTAAGATATTCTCTAGTGAGAGAGAAAAATTAAAAAAATGCAGACAATACATAGGTTAAAATTATCTTCTGCATGTTGATTTTTCTTTGAAAAAACAAACAATTTCAAATGCAAAGGCAACACCAAAAGAATAAAAAAAATCATTGTGGAAAAATAACTTTTAAATAAGTTCAGTCACATTTTTTTGTAATTAGCAGTTATCAACATTTAATACAAAATATTTTCCTAAAACCTCAGAAAAAAATGAAGTGGTGTATGTTAGAAATTACTCAACCACTTGAGCAACAAAATAATTACTATTAATTATCTTTCCATTAAAATGGATTTAGTGACACTTTGTGTCCCTGTGGGGGGAAAAAATGCCAAGCAGCTTACAGACAGTTCAAAGACAGCCTTTGTTCTGAAGGCTTGAACATCTGAGGTTTCACAAAGGTTTTGAGGTAATTTGCCTTCCTTGTTGTAGAACGTGATCACACGTCATTAAATTTTGCAGTGGAAATGTTTTTGAGTGATTGCTGAAAGGACCAGCAAGAACTGGGTGCTTCAGAGCTGCAGAGCCTTGCTGAAGGTGTAACCCATGCCAGAAATGCCAGGGGTGTCTCCGTGACCAGCAGTGGGAAGCAGCAGCCCCGTGGTGTTCTCAGGGGGGTTGTGGTCTGGTGCTGCCTCACACCTGGGTAAAGGATTTTGTTACAAGTCACACTGATTTTTTCTTACTCTAATTGAGAAGAATACTGGCCTGGTAGTCCAGGCAGTTGTTGTTACATTGCTCTGGCAGCCCCTGAAAGAAAGCTTAGAGCACATGGTCCAGGCACTTCACCTTCCTGCTCATCTTTATGTGTCAGATTTCCTCAGGGTTTGATGTTTCCCTGGGTACTGACCAGGCACGGAGGAGAACAGCACTTTTTTCTGGCACAAAAGTGAGTGTCAGGTCATGAAGGCATTTTTTCCTCTTAAGTTTTTTAGCAGGAACTTTAAAGGTCTCCTTCTAGTAGGCAAGTTTGTTCTAGGAGTAGATACCATAAGGGCAGTGGTAAAACAAAAAAAAAAATCACATTAATAAAATAATGGTTGTTATTACTAATGGTTGTAATTACTAACTGCTAAGAAGCAGTTGCACTATGGACTGTTAAAGCACTCTTTTTTTGTTTTATGTGGTGGGGTTTTTTTACTGTCCTCCATCCCCCATTAAATTAATTTCATAGTAAGGTAACTGCAGTGCCTTCAGTGAAGCTATTTCTGGCTAAGGCAGATCTAAGAACAAAATTGGATCTTTCACTCTGTATCCTTCCCATTCATGGATGCATTTTTAAAAAAGAACTGGAAGCTCCTTTCTGATCTAATCATCCAGTAATTAAGTTTTTTTTGTGAAATGGATAGATGTATGATAGCTACAAAATCATTATACTGTCTATTATAGTGCAATTTATGTTCTGTTTTAATCTATCTGAATGACAGTACAATACAAAATAGATTTCCTTATCTGATGCCCTTGTTAATGTATACCGTAATAAATGCCAGTCATTCCTATTCCCATGCCATAAAGGAATTTTTAATACATCAAAACAGATTAAATATTCCTTTGCAGCAGTTCTTTAGGGACTGGCTTGGGACAGCAGGGTTTGGAGACAAAACTTAGCAGCATGGTAGAGACTTAAAGTAAATACTTTAATAATAACAAAGTCACTAAGTCAGATCCCTGAGCTGGTGGTTGTCAGTGGCAAAACACCTGGAGTCTCTGAGCAATTGGCTGTGCAGGTATGAAGAGAATGTTCTCTTCTTTCATCCATTTAATTAGACTCAGCTTGAGAATTCATCATCAAGAGTTCAGAAATTATTGGAAGGGTACTTTCTTCAACTACTTAATGCTTAAGAATGATGTTTAAGAATAGAAGATCTACTAGCTGTAAAGTTTGGACGACATGATAAGCAGAAAAGAGTTTCCTGACTGTAATACTTGTTCCAGTAAATAGTTAGCTTTAAGTAGAAAACATGCCTGGACAAACATATTTTCCATTAATTCTTGTTATTTCCACTAATACTTTTATAAAATAATTTCATAACTTCCCTCTTTTTTAAGATTTTAAGCAGCATTTTAAGAATCTGGTCAGCCTTCAGGTTCAAACAAGCACATATCCTCCTTGATTCCCTCTTTCTTAGCAAAAATGTGCCTTCAAGTTATGCATTGCAACAAGAGCTGCTCTATGCCAGGAACAACATTAAGCATTAATAGAGCAAACCTATTTTAAAGTCACTAACTTAAACATCATTTAAACAGTTTACTAATCTGGGATTTTAATAATTATATGATACATTGTAATATCTCTTCAGAAGAGTTATTTTTCATAGGTGTGCCTCCTAAAATGATATCAAAGTATTTAGAAAGCCTGGACAAAGAGCAGTTGACTGAGTTCTCAGTGCTCTCTGGAAGTGCAGTGCACACTAGTAGGGCAGCCTCTGTAGGCAGAGAGAATTTAATTGCCTTAAACAAGAGAAATCTGGATGTGAAATGTAGAATGCTACAGCTGTCAGGAAACCCAAGCCCAAGCAGCTCTGGTATCATTAAATTTCATTTAATAACTTCTAATACTACCAGTCATCGTCACAGCCAATACCTAAAAGCAAAGTGAACAAAATTTCAAATGTGTTTACAAAGAGGCTTTGACAAATAATATCCTCAGTACTGCTTGTTTTTTACCTGTATATACCCTATGCAAGTGGATTTATTTAATATCAATGTAAAAAGTACAAGGAAAAATGGTAAAACCAGTGTGAGAAAAAATCCAAAATGAGTATTTTGTCTACAAGCTTTGTCACAGATTCTCATGTCAAAAAAACTGTAGCTCTTTGCAATAATAGGGAAAATTTAGCAATATGAAATTGAATTTATTGGCTCTTTAAGATAGCTTTGAAATGACTGTGTATATTTTGTGTAAATATTCTGTGTAAATATTTTAATGATGGTGTGCATGATAAAGATTTTTGTGTCTGTGTGTAATAGCAAATACCAGTGCAATCATGTGTGTTTATCACACAAAAAGTAGTCAAATAGCAAAAAAAAAGTTACTGACCTTGAGATGGTTAAATGTCTAATGGAAAATACTTAGTTCCAGTTTAGGTATTTTCATATTTTTTTCTCCCAGTGTTCTCCAAAAATATGTAATTTCCAAATAGAGAGCAAGTGAGGGTCTATATGTATCTGAAGTCAACAGCTGAGCATTTGCAGGGTGGAATTTCTAAATTTCCATGCTAAATCAGTACTGTTCTTCATCGTGGTGCACAACTCCCAAAGAGAGGAGTAGCACTGGATAGAGGACAGCATATGGCAGTAGGATCCATTTAAATCTTCTCCTACACAGAGCAGCTACACTGGAGATAAATCATGGCTTCATTAAAGTCTCTGCTGAAATTCTCATAAACTTGAGCTCATTCATGATTTCAGCCAGACTGTAGAATTGTAGTTTGAATTAAATCTAAGAGAAGTTCTTGCCCCAGGTGCCTGAACTGGGCATGTTTGTGTTTAGCAGCTGACAGATGAGTTCTGCCCACTGTGACCACGCACGTCGTGTGGATAAATGAGCTCTGTTCCCTGGCCACGTCTGAGTTCACTGAAGTCATTATTTACCCTCGAAATTAAAGAGGGAGTTTGTGTGTGCCAATCCCCAGCCTGCTTTAGAGAGAGCAGCATATCACTAATTATGCATATCTCATTCAGAATTTACATCTTGAACCCAAACTTGTACTAAAATTAATGGGGAGACTGTTTTATTCCTAGTATAAACAGCCAAAAAGACACTCAGTATCTTCTCTTTGGCTTCAGTGATTTGCCATGTTTAAGCTATTCGAAAGCAGTATTTACTCCATCTTTCTAGTTTCTCAGAGTAAATATAATCTGAAACATCTGGAAAATCCTTATTTGCTAGTCATGCTGAAGTAATGCTCAGGGGGTTGTGAGCATTTGCTTACTGGCTTGAGCAAGGCTTTGGATCCCTGTGCACCGAGTTTGATAGAAAGCAAAATGTAACACATTTCACTTAACCCCACAGTACCCAGACCAACACAGGGAGCACTTTGCAAAACGCACTGTGCAAGATCCATCACAAGTTTGGTGACTAAAGGCACTGAGCTCCCACTGAAATGAGATTGAGCAAGCTTCAGAAATGTGGTTCCTTTTTCCCCCTCCCTAACAAACAGTTCATTTAATGTAAATCCGATTCTTCTGAGATCCGTTCCCAACGTGTCAGGGAAACAGCTGTTCAACAGCAACGTGGAAGTTAAAATCAGTGGCAAAATTCCCAATAACTAAACTGGAAGGAGGAGGCTCTGTGATTGCCCAGCTTTAACCGTGTGCTAAGCTGATCTCTGTTTCCCAACGCAGCGCTCAGGACGGCAGGATTTCGGAACGGCAGCTTGGGAAGCCGGCCCAGTGCTCCTTTTAGAAGCAATGTTTATCAGCCAACTGAGATGGCAGTTGTGCTAAATGGTGGGACTGTAAGTATCAAAATGTGATGATTTAAGAAATCTTTGAAACGCACTGATATATACAACCATTACTAATTGAAAAACCTGCTTTAGTTTATTCACAGCAGGGGGAAAGCTATAAATGAAAATTAAGGCAGAAATTATGCATGTAATGATTCCCTTCCCTCTAGAAAATATGTAGTTAACAAGTATTTTGCATTTGTTTACTTAGCTACTCACATTTTGCAGTGCAGCTTCAGTGAACCAAGTTTTTTTTGTAAGACAACACATTCAATGGCCCTTTCAAATTAAATTTGTATTAAGGTATTTAACATAACTATTAAGTGACACCATTTCTAACCTGATTTTTTTCAAGATGGTGTGAGTCACACAGATGTTTTCAGGCAGTATGTTACTTTAAATAATTGTTGCAGATAATGGTTGTCTCTCACATATATTCCATTTTCTTGTAAAATACATGTAATTCTTTGTAACTTACAGATTTGTACATATTTTGAAAAGGGATTCATAAAAGAGGAATATAGAATATTTTCATGTTAATAGCATCAATTTTTCTTCCTTGGACAGTGGTTTGGCATATCTTTGATAGACCTGTATTTTTGCAGCCTGGTTGTTGTAAGATTGATTTAGTGATGCCAAACAGACTTTACAAATGTTTTTCACATTATGTCTAATTTTCACTTAAGACATTTCATATAGCAGGCATACTGTTGAAAACGAAAAATTTTCATTCCCACATTTTTCATGCATATCTACATGCTTCTTAAAAATCTACTCATGAGCCAGTTTGTACTCATGTGAGTTGGGTTTTCTTTCTTTTGAATCATAAGCTGATTCCATAACTCAACCTCCACAATTAAAGCCAGTTTAAAATGAAATTGCAGGTCTGGTTTTGTTTCTAAGTAAGTAAAGTTCTGGCTGATTTTAGTGGACAAGAGGGACTAGATACAAGGATTCTCCTCCGTGGTAAGACTGTGTGAAACATGTCAACTTGAGTAAAATGAAAAGGCTTGGCTTTGCTGTCAGTAATGGATTGCATCCTTCTGATATTTTAATTCATCTCTGCCTGTTTTCTGATACCAAAATGTGCAGCTCAGGGAGAAGGCAGTTAAAGGATGAGAAGCTTGAGAATTTGGGTTTTTTGTTTGTTTTGCTTTGTTCTGAGTTGGATACAAAGGTCATGTGTATATACAGTCATGGTTTTACAGAGAGATAAATGCACTGTATGGGTGGAAGATGACTTTCTTTGTATCACTTTTCTCTAGAACTGCCATCTGGAAAGCTGTCCTGTACATGTAGTGTGATAAACACTGATTTTTGAACAGTCTAGATCTCTCAGTTATGGGTTTGTTATCCTTATTTCCAGATACCAACTGCTCCGCCAAGTTACACTGGACGACACCTCTGGTGAAAGGCTGTAGGCTGTAGAGAATAAGAATCCTTGTTGCAGATGTTGTTCCCTGGCAGTGTGTCTTTGAGGGAAGGAATCCATAACAGTACCAGAACAAAGCAACAAAACATCCAGGATCTTTCTAAATCCTGCAGAGGATTTTGCTAAATGTGAACACCATTGAATGGAGAATTGCAAAAACAAAATTGTAAAACTGAAGCTGAATCTAATTTAAAACAGAAGTAGGCACACCATAAATTGGCAGAGGAGATGTTGTATTCTGAAGTGTAAGATACTCTCTTGTCTGTAACTTGTGTGCTAGACAAGCCTGGTTTTGGTGGTTGCCAGTTGCTTGCAAAATACCTTCCTCTCACCTAAACTTAACTCATGTTGCCACAAGAGATTGCCACTACAGCGCGAAAACACGCGGGATTTCTTTCCATTTTTCTCCTTTTCCTGTCATTTCCAACGTCATGAGAAGTCCCCAGTTTGCTCCCTCCCTAGCTGTGCTGTGCAGTCACGCAGCATCGTGTGTAGGCAGACACGCTCCCTCTGGGGCAGCTCGGTCCCCGTGGCTCTGCGGGCTGATGCTCTGCGGGCTGATGCTCTGCTCTTTGAGAAGCTCTGCAGGCCGATGCTCTGCTCTTTGAGAAGCTCTGCTCTCTCAGAAGCTCTGCGGGCTGATGCTCTGCTCTTTCAGGAGCTCTGTGCGTTTCATGCGCCTTGCGGAGCCTCTCGGGCGGAGCGGAGGAGCGCGGTCGGGCACGGGCGGCTCTCCCCGGCCCGAGGGGTGGGTTCCGAGCCACGCAGCCCCAGGCGGGTGTGAGCAGAGCCCACAGCTCCCGAAGCCATTCCTGGGAGGGCTGTTCTGGCCGGGCCGGGCCGGGCTGAGGCAGGAGCCGGGGCGGTGGGAGCCCCGAGCCCCGAGCCCGCTTCATGCGGGCGCTCCGCTGCCCTCGACTGCAGGTGTTCGTGCGTTTAAATGTGGTTGTGCATTTTAGTGCCTAGAGAGTAGAATCTCTGTGCTGGAGGTGGTTTGTTGTTGTTTTTGTTTATTTAAGGTGGTTTCTTCCCTAGTCCTCCCCATCCATTTTCTTGAGTTGATATAAGGCAGAGTTTTCAAAGCTTTTCATCTTTGTTTTCTCCAGGTTATTTAAACGGTTCCCATTGCCCATTTGTTGTGCCATGGTTTTTCATTATGTTCAAGCAATCATTCCTTTCTTTAACATTTAATACATATCGGACATTGAAAACATCACTGTATCCTCACTGTTTGGCCAATGTTAATCTTAGCTTTCCTCAATACTAAAAGCTAATTGTTTTTACTTGAAGGCATAGGAAACATATAACAATTAAACTTTGCATATGCTGTAATAAGAGTATATATTTTCAAACTAAAAAAAAATAAAACTACAAATAACTGAATAGCTTAGTAGCTTCACAGAGAGAAGTTACTTGCTGTATACTGCAGAAGAAAGACAAGCTTTTTATTTTTCAAGAGTCTTCCTGATTCCTCATGTACCTCCATTTCTACTGAATTAGGAGCCTAGTCCTGCAGACTTGTACTCCCACGAGTAGTCCCATCGACACCAGTAGGTCTACGTAAGGTACAGAGGCTGCAAGACCAGTCCCTGAGTGTTGCACACAGATATATGTATATATATATATGGGAAAATATCTATTGCCATTCTTGCCATGATCATCTTATGGGGTTTTATTTCAAAGCCCTTCTCCTCCAGAAGCAATGTTTTTCTGTCATGCATGAGTGAAGGAGTATGTCAGCTCCCCCCTGCCCTCCCCTCCTCGAGGCAAAGGAAGCATGTGCTTGTTTTAGGGATCCTTTATTTCATTTTGTATGTAACTAGATGGCCTTAGTAACCAAGTAGGGTAGGGGTGGATATTGCATGCTATCCAGTGACTTAGAAATACATTTTGCTTGTTATGAGCAGAGCTTTGATCAAGTAAGATAATATTTAAGATAATGATAGCCACCCAGAAGACATGTAATTTGGAACAATAAAAAAACAATTACCATCACTTGCCTGCAGAACTTTGCTTTTAAAAATCAGTTAGAAAAAAAATCCCTCATAAAACTGTTATCATAAAAACATATAAGATGACCATGGCATAAATGGTAGAACAGGTTTCTTTTAAAAAGTTTATCATGCTACAACCAAGACTTATGAATTATAATACATATTTTACAGACCTTTGACAAAAACTATACAAGACATAGTTATCTTAAGAAATTTTCTTTCTCTTTTTCTAGATGTGACTGAATTGATAAATAGAGTTCCCAATCCTGCTTCTGATGAAGTTGTTTGGGATTTCAGGGCTTATGCAAAGATCTGGCCAGATCTTACAAACTGCAGTTCACATGACTAGTCTCACTGGGTTAGTCATGTGGACTACTCACTGAATTAAAAATTAGCAGGATTGGGTTTAATGTGTGGTGGTGAAAGTGTGGCAATAGATTTAGGAGGGTCTTTATTTTCCAACTTTTTACAATTAGTAATGAGCAACTTTTTTTTTGTAAGTCACTAGTCTGTGATGTAAAATGCCCCAAAATAAAACTGTAATTGAAGAAAGGCACCTTTATGTTAACTTATATTTTTGTTACAGTATTTACTTTTGCCTTTTTTGAAAGTTTTCTAGAATGTAGAGCATCTGTGAACAACATGAATAAGTAACTAAGCACAAGCCTTTCACAGTTCTCCTGATTATAATTAGCTTTTATACTATAAAAGCTACTATGTTGTCCCTTGATGGTAATGTGCTCATGGTGTTTCCATGCGGAAAAATGAAATCAAAAAGCATCTGACAAAAGCATCTATTAGCAAAACCAGATTTTAATTGACCAGCTTTTGATCAATGGCAGGAAAAGAGTTCAAAGTCCTACAAATCCTGTTCAGCTTTCAGATGGGTTGAGGGTGTTTGACACTTGCCAGAAAATATGTAGCATTTTCAGAAGAACACTCTCAATACATCCAGCTGCTTCTATAAACAAGGTACATGAAATACTATGGAATTAGCTGTTTCTGCTTTTAGTGTAAACACAGGCATCTTGGTTGGCTTCGTTTGAGCTCGATGCCTTGGGTCTAACCAAAGGCCATACAAAAGGGAGCATTGTAGCTTTTATAATAAAACAATTGGATTATTCTACCAACTTACAGGATTACAAAGCAGGTGCTTTTTATTAATTGATGAGAGCTGAAGCTCATTTTTGATAGATGATATATATTTATTAAATGTATTAACGTGTGTTTTATAACGTACCCTTTTTTCCGCTGATTGTTGCATACTGGTCTCTTACTGAGTACATCTTTAAAGGATTTTCAAGACAATCAATGTGTACCATGATGACTGTACATAAGTATACAAAACTACAAAGGTTGTAAAGCATGGGCAAATGTTTTATTTTCAAAATGCTGTTCTTAACGAGAATAAAGGCTTTACTATTTACTTACAATGTTTGTGTCCTCTTGGTTTTAAAATCCACACAGATTTTTTTCCATTGCAGTGAGCACTGCTACAGACAGAATTGCTCCTTGGTGCAGTTCCTCAATGTAAGCAAAGTTAAACCAAAGGAAAGGGCTCCTAAACCACATTCCTCCACCTCTGGCCACATTCCCACACTTACCCTTAGCTCTGGCACCTATCACACCCATGGTGAGCCAGTCAAGGAGCTCAGAGCCAAACTCAAAACACAAAAGGGATACTTTTTTCCCCTGTTGGCTCAGCAGTTTCCTGTTCTGGTTCAATTGTTTGTGAAAAGAAGGGGACAGAAGAATTCAGCTGGGCTTGAAGAGTGCAGAATGAGAGTTTTTCTTCAGCTGGTTTGATTTTCCAGAGCTGGTGTGAGAACCGTCATCACCAACCAGGAGAAAACCCAAGGGATGGGTACTGGTCTAACAGTGAGGACAAAGTCTGTGCAAGTGAAGGAAGAAATTCATGTGGAACCACAGCAAGTGCTGCAGACCACCCGTGTTTTATTAGGTGTTCAGTCAAAACAACTACACCTTTGACTTACATGGAATTATTTGTAGTTCTGCTACTATCTTGTCTAATTGTGAAATTAAAAAGGCAGAAATAGGACTATTCTTGTCAGGACTAAGTTAAAAAAATAATAAGGATTCCTTAGCAAGGGGCCCAATCTGATTTTTTACTGTGCTGGGACCTGATATAAGTAAGTAGCCTGCATAAGATTGCTGAAAATGCTGACACTGAGATCTCAATTCTACACTTTCTGAGCACATGTGCTAAGTGGTAACAAAAGAGCCTTTGACTTTTCTCCCCTGCAGAAATGCAGAGCAACCCCAGCCCTCATTGCCTTCCATTGGAATTGCAGAGCATTTCTGCAAATTAGACCTTTCTGAACAGAGCCTGGATTTGTGTGAATTGTCATAGCTCTGCAGGAGTCAGAAACGTCCAGTTTATGATAAATGAAGATTTGACACTTACCTACATGTGGGTAGAACCCTGTTTAATTTTATCCAGAGTTTTGTTCTTGTCAGTAAAGATTTTAAGTGAGCATTCACAAACACAAGATGAAAACAGATTCAACATTTTTGGCTTGATGTGCACCATTCCATCTGTTTTAACAGAATTGTGCTCACTTAGACTAAGACTGAATTTTGTCTTGGCATGCTGGGTCCTTACATAACCTGCCTTTGATTTACAATACCTCACATGTAAAACTTTAATGCTAAAAGGGTTTCTGAATCAGTATCACAAAGTCCATGAGCGCTGTGCTTTGCAATTTTAGTGAGGAAACTAAAATTGAGATGTTGAAGGATTTTGTTTGTCCTGCTCTTCTGATTTGCTTCCCACTGCAACCATACAAAAAAAAAAAAAAAAAAAAAAAGATTAACAGGCACAGAAACATTCATACTTCTATAGCAAATACTTTTCAATAAATTTTTTATTTATTTATTGTTCAATAAATAAATAAAAATCCCTTACCCAACCCAAAATTTGTATTTCTTCTTTGCATGACATTTTTTTTCATGTTTTGACACAGCTGCAGCACTCAGATACTTGCACACAGTTCTCTGTGCAGCTGTGGGAGTTGTGCATGTGTAGCTAAGGCAGAGCTGTTTGCTAGTAAGAAGTCACTGGATTGTTAAAAAAAAAAAAATTGAAAGCAGCTCTTTGAGGTTTTTGCTTTGAAGAATTTTCAATTAAAAGTCAGTGATGAAGTCATACAGTTCACCTAGCATATAAATATATTTTTGTCACTTAGGACAACAAGCAAGGTCAATAAAGAATAGTTTCTCTATGTCTCAGTGGAAAGAAGAATGTTATCCATGTGATTGCAAAGGGTCTGCCAAATGGGAAAAATCAGTCAAACAAAGAGCACAGGATTGCTTGCTGGAGTAAACAATTCTAAATGAACAAAAGCTCTACATAAAAGTAAAATGTCCCACCCCCTGGTGAAAGCTGTTTTCAAAGCTCTGTATTCTTTCAGAATGTTGTAATACAGATTAACCTAATGTTTTTCTTCTGCTGATACAACAGTCTGGTTCCTCATTCTATTTGTGTGATTTCAGCTATCTTATCCTGGTTTTGATATTTTAAGATTTTACAAACTGCCTTTCAACTTAAAAAAATCTGCTTTTCTATTTCCTACACTTCAGAAGATGTATCTGTACTAAACACCTTTTACATCAAGCAAGTTTGTTTGGAGATTTATATATAAAAGCTATGCTAGAGGCAAAGAAATCCAAATAAGCCCCCAAAAAATCCCCTTTTGAACATACAGTTTCAGGAGAGCTTAGTTACCCTTCCAAGGCATGCAACTGAAAACCAGCAGACAAAATCCTCTTGGTCCATACCAGGAATACTGGGCTGCAGCAGGCCCATGTGCTAATTTAAGGTGCTCAGAGTGCTCCCAACCTGGAGAATGCCAGCTCATAGAAAGCATCCAGGGAAAGTGCTGCATGAGGAGGGACACAGCAATCCCTTAGAAACCCAAAACGAGACTGCAGCAGCAGGAGAAACCCTGTCCTACAATGGTCAAGGCAATACAGTGCCTCGATGGCACAAGACCTTTCTGGATTTTAGGGTTTCTGTTTGTACAGTTAAGGAGAAAAATCGAGAGTGGGTTTAATATCCCATATGACTATGAATGTCCTGTATACAAAATACTTTCTATTGCATTGAATTTTAGCTAATATTCCTTGATGTGATGAGGCTGACATTTGCAAATATTTAATAAAAATTGCAACGTTCAGAAACCTCAGGACTCACACACTTTCACATTAAAATGAGCAGGTGTTTAAGGTATCTGCTAGCAGTGCTTTTAGTCAGTAGTGTCCTTGTCTTATCATAACCTGTGTTACTTAAGCATAACAATTTCCAATCACATCACACCAAGCAGGAAGCCCAGGCTGTCAGCATAAATCTGGATTTCAGGCAGTTATTTAAATAGTTTTTGACACAGACTTGCTTCCTATGCAGACAGAAAAGTAAGATGTCCTCAGGATTCAGATAAGCTGGAAAGATGGAGAAAGAAGCTGCCTGACTACATTGTTTTGCTAGAAATTTCCATTGGAGAAATGTATTTTTCAGGCTGTGACACCTCAAACTGAACTAGCTTGCTTAAAATATTTTGAAATGCCTAAGGAAGATGTTTAGAACAACTTACACCACCTGATAATCCAGCCCGTTTCTTTCAGACGACACAATGAACAGCGTCAGTGTCAACATCAACAACCTGGCTTACAACTACACCATGCTGAATTTTAGCCATTTCAGTCCTAGAAGTCCTATCATTCTTTCAACAGAGTGAGAAACCCATTTCATTTTCCAGTGCAGGTTAAAAAGGATGAAAATCTGAAGCTGAGCAGCACCATTCCCATTCCATCGCTCCGTGCCCGCAGTCACCGTGTGCAGCTCTGCAGGGCCAGCTCCCCCCACCGTGGCAATCCCAGCTCTGGTTCTGCTGCAGTGGAAACCATTCCCTCTGCTCTGTGAGAGCTCCTGCACACTGGGGAAAGGCACAGGGACATAACTGGGCACAGCAAACTGCCATTTACACAGCGGGGGTTGCAACTGGGCACTGCTGCCAGTCTCGGGGCAATGCCAAGAAAACTGTTCTCACAGAAAGCTGGATTCAGGAAAATTACAAGCACTTCAAATCCCAAGATGTTTGTGTGACTGAATGTATGAAATTTATCTACAGAGAATGCCTAATTTAACGAGGCACAATTTTAATTAAATAACACAATCATGCTCATTGGCAGCATGATCAGTATTTCAAATACTTCTAAAACATCAGCTCCTGTTTGAAGTCCTGAGACATAGAGGAACTGAGGCCCTTAAGTGCTGTAGCAATGTAAGTTAAGAAAAAATAAAATCTCACATCTCACTTATTTCTTCTAGTACTGGTATTTCTACCTGAATAGGTCATATGGTTTCTTCTATCAGAACAGTTTAATTTTCTAGCACTATGTTTCAGTCTCTTTACTGTATTTCTCAGACTTTTTACTCCTTATTCTTATTTTTCAGAGTGAGAAAACCTGATTAAACTATGCTTTAGTCACATGCACATTCTAAATGACAGGACACTATAGCCACCCCTGCAATAATAAGCACCCGTGGGTGATTAATTTCTTTGGAGGTGAGCTGGGGGTGTTCTTGAGGAGCACAACTGTTATCTGCTATTTTTGACCTGCTATTCCTACTGCAGTAAAGTCATCTACTACTTGGTCTGCCATGTTCCTTGGGAATGCAGCTCATTTGTCTGTGCTGCAATGCTGAGGCACGGATGATGGCTAAAGGAAGCACTGGAATGCATCTGGGAAGGGAAAATTCAAAAATCTCCAAAACTTGGAGCTTTTGTCCTATTTATTTAAGCAATAAGTTGAAGCATCCTTATCATCTAATTAGAATGGCAGACATCATTTTCCCATCTTAATGTACGGGACTGATGTTTTGGTTTGACACTTGGTTGTTTCAGCATAACAGTGAATAAACTATGACCTACTTTGTGCACTACTGGATCACACAACTGGCTTGTGACAGTAGCTTAGGAAAAGTTTAGGCTCCCACACTCTATAAAAAGTACACTTCTTCACAGAACTCTAAAAACTACATTTAGTAATTTAAACAGTTGAAAACAGTAATGAAAAATACTATTAACTCAGACTATAAGAAGATGAAAATCCATTAAAGAAAATGTATTGGAATAACTTATTAGCAGGGGCTTAGAGTAAAATATATATATAGAAAGGAGTTTCACCCTAGCCTCCCAATGAAATGCCAAAGAAGCCTGAACATGAAATTGGAGCCACCAGCAATCTTGCTGAAATAAGACCTGACTTTTAAAGAGAAAGTTTTTTTATAAAGGGTTTATAATTTTAGCCTCTTACTATTGGAAGTCTGCCTGTATACAATTATTACTGAAACCTTTCACTCCAGGAAATATTCAGTCACTAGTGATAGGGAAATGATCTATTGAATACAGATATATTAAACAAATAAATGTTAAAATGAAAATTATTCCTACCCATAGACACTCCTGTAAGTCATGAATCTGAAATGGAACTGTTAGAGGATCACTCAGTAGAAGAGACTTCTGCAAAATGGATTTTTAAAAGTGACAGGACAAACCTAATTCTCCAAATCAGGAGCAGAGTTTGTCAAATGCTTAGTCTTGCTTTCGTGACTGTAGAGGACAAAAAGTTTCATGGCATTTTTTAATTCACTTAGGATCAGACTAGCAAAGCAAGAGCTGAAATACAGGAGACTTCCAAACACCAACATTCAGAGAGGCACATGGGAAATAAGGGCTGAAAGGTCTCTAGCAGAATTTGTTTGTCTGTGCAATGCACCATTGATTTCTTCATATTTTGACAGGAAGACTTAGAATTCATTAGAATATATTTGAATGGCATTTTTACAATACAAGGTGTACAAAAAGAAGAGAAATATGGGGAGATACAAGTATTGGAGTAGATAAACAACAGCCATGAACACCTGAGTTAGGAAAGAAAAAACTACAGAAAATTAGATGTACTGGAGACTGTTATTTAAAAGTATCCAAGTGTCCTCCAAATAATTCAATGACCTGAGATTTATGCAAAGACAGACACAGAAATACAAGAGCTGATGGAACACAACCCTGGACTGAGAAGAAAATCCAAAATGAAGGCAACCAGTGCATTTCCAGAGCATCTGATTAACGCAGTTTTTTTTTTCAATGCAAATACTCAAGAAAGAAAAAGAGAATGATGAAAATAGAAATCATCCCAGAGTGGCAGGTCCTCAGCTGAATTTGGGGATTTACAGGCAGAAACCAACACGGGCAGAAATCCAGAACTCCGGATTTGCTGGGCAGCTTCATGAAAACTGCATTTATCCCCATTAGCCCCTCTTATTTCTGACATGATTCCAACTTGCAAAATGTGATGGGTTCTGTGAAGTTACCAAATTTAAACTCTTGTGCAGACTAAAACAAAGCATCAGGTAAGAAATCAGACTGCTCCATCAGAAAACAATCCTGGTGACTGAGGGAGGGCTCCAAGGGAGCCAGGACAAGCAGCTCCTGGGTTCTGCAATCTGTCAGACATTTCTTTGTTCTCCCTGAGTCCCATTTCAGCACCCCACTAACAGCTCGTGGTCTTTCTCTCCCTGCCCCACTTCCCCCCTTCTTTTTTTTAACCCAGGATCTCAAATCTTGCTTTGCTGCAGGACTATTTGGAGGCTTTATTTTTCAGCTGGTGACAGGCTTTTCTCCAAGCTTCTAACACATCCCATAGTTATAAATAGAAATTTGGGGTTTGCTTATCTAAATGGCTTACAAAAAACACCAGCAGCATTTTCAATAAAAATGCTCCAATGTTTTTCATTTTTAAGGTTAAAAGCAGAAAAAGGAAACTAAGAAGATTGCAGAATCCATGAAGAGTTTCTCCCGTCTTTACAAAAAACCAACCAAACAAAAAATATGTTTATATAATCACAGAAAATCACCAATTTTCGCTTTTTCCATTACAAATGATTATTAACAACTGCAGAGTGACGAGTGAAAATACAGCTTTGGTACTGGGGGATTAGTTCAGACTTGTGCTCCCAGGCCCACTGCTGTGCCTGTGTAAGCACAGCTCAGAAGATCACGTGCTGCAGTTTATCTAAATGATCATCTTTCCTTTTTATTTTTGCTAACATTCCCAACGTAGTTTCAGAAATTAAATGTTACTGTAATCTTTATAAATTTTCAAAGATGTCTGAGTCCAGGGTGTGGACCAATAAATTGGATTCTGTATCATGAGTCTTATGACTTTTATCACTACATTCTCAGCTGTTAGTGCCAAGATTAAACTTTCAGAAACATCTCAAGCATTTTGAATTAAGCTTGTGAAAACCACTAGCACATACTCAGCCTTCGGTATTGCTTTGTTCTTTGATTTTCTTTTTCTTTTTTTTTTCCTCTTTAAAAAAAAAGAAAATTTAAGGTCTTCTCCTATGCAAGTCAAATTTTATGCATGTGCTTTTAAATCAAAAGCAATCATATATATGCCTCCATTTAAAACCATTTTGACTGCAGCACTTTTGCTTTCAGAAAGACAAAAACAAATAACTGTAAATACAGTCATGTTTTTAAAAAAAAGGAGGGTGAAATTATTTTAAGTGCAGTGTCCTAGTGACAGCAAACAGCCTTCCACTTTTAACCTGTTTATAAAGCTTAGTTTGAAACCAAGTTATTAGAAAAAACACATTCAACACAGAAGATCTTAATATATATATATGTGTGTATATAAATCTGTTATATAATATAACAGATTAAAAGTGTAAAACCATAGAATATGAAGAGGTCATCACTTACAAGAATTCCATTATGAGATTAATTAAAGAATTACAGCTGCAGTAAAAGAAGGACGTATGAAATTAGTAACAAATTATTTTGTTTAAAACTTCCTCAATTATTTCAATCACCCTTGGTGAAAGTGGCAAGGGGAAAAAAAAAACCTCTCACATAAAACTGATTAATTCCTTACATTTTACAGGGCTGAATTTTCCTAAATAAACCAAAGAGAAGCAGTCTGTATGAAATCCATTAGCTATTCAGACTATGCCTTTTCCTAATCCAACATTTTTACCTGCAGTAATTTTAAATATTATCTTAAGCCTAGTGTAAGATTTCCCATTTATAAATATATCCTCTTTTCAATATTTTCGTTGGGAAACGACTCAGTCCTACAAACAAGCTTGTGGCTGTAACTTCATTTATGGCCCCAATAATAAGGATGTTTATGGAATGAATTTAAAGAAATTTCACAGTGTAACCATTTTTTTTTCCTGGGTTCTGAATGTAACATTTTTCTCTTCTCCAATTAATTCATCTTTGATGTGATATGATTGCATACAGGCATCCTTCAAAAGAATGCAGACTAGACTTCCCCTGTTCAGCTTAACTTGATATTAAGCTTTTGAATCCTTCCTCATGGTTCAGGTGGAGGCATCACAGCTGGAGGAGGAGTGAGTGACTCCTTCTCAAAAAAGCATTTCTTTGCTTCTTGACACTGTGCATCTGTTCCTGCTCTAGCACCATAAATATGCAGCCTGCTCTCCCTTGTATCTCACTCATATTAGCAGGGATTTTTCAGAACACCTCCATTTTGAGCTCTTCAGAGTATTGCTGGATGCATCTTCCCAAGGGAAAAGATTATTGCCATGAGAGAAGTATTTTTTAAATCTCTCCAGATAGGTAAGTAATAACTTCTACTGCCAAAGGAAAAATACAGCTTGAAAATTGAATAGAATGTAAAAGAATGTTCCCTCCTGTATCTGGAAATCACCCCCCTCACCTGCTGTGAAGATTACTTTCTGTCTTATTTTGATTTAAGTACATTTTCCACACACTGTGCCCTCTCTGTTACACAAGTGCCTTGCAAAGCCCAGGCTATGGTTGATTTATAAGACCTGCCAGCTAATAGGGTCACAATTGATATTGCTGTAAATCCAGGAATATTTTTTTCTTTTACTATTTTCCCTAAGAATACTGATTTTTAAAAGTAAAAGTTCACAAATTTTGTGCAGGTAAGAACAAGAAAAAAATTCCCTTAGGACATAACATAGCTGGAAGTACAATTTGTGTAACAGCAGCAGTGGTCTTTCCAACAGCAGAGAAGTAACCACTGCAGCAGAGTGTTTGGTCACATAAGTGATGAAGATTTTGGTATTTTCATTAAAAAGTTTAAATATTTTTCAAATTCCTTTCATTGTAGGACTGACACTTTTTCATTTCCAGTGCTGTCCCATCAGTACTAAATCTGCTCAAAAAGGTGCTCAGAACCACAATCTGCTATTCACTCACATTCTCTGGAGGTTGAGTTTTAATTAACTGCATTTTCTGTAGAAAGCAAACAATTTTTTATTTCTGTAAAAAACTGTGGAACAAATTTATCCCATCAGCTGTGCTATATTAGAGAAAATTCCTTCTCCCTTCAAGTCTAAAGCTGTGAGCCACTAAACTGAGTCTTAAGTGTTATGCTTATCTCTACATTTTCAGTCTGAAATTGTTCAGAGTAAGGCCTGTCATACCTTAAATATAGATCATTTTGTGGAATGTAATTTTACACAGCAGTGGAGCAGTATAGCAAATAAAATGTCAGCCAAGAATGCTCTAGCTTTATGATCCTGGATACATGCTGAAGGAAACACACTTTCTTCTTTGCACTCAAAAAGAAATTTTGCCAGCATATGCATTAAAAGAGGTCAACAGTCCTGCAAGGTGCTATTAATGCATAAAGTAATTTTCATGCTGCTTTCACACTTCCTATCCTAGAGCACTTTGCAAAACTCATAATAAAGAGTATAAAAGATGGACTGAGAGAAGGCTGCAGAACTCCACAGGAGCAAACGGGGAAGTTTCTCCTGCAGCGAAGCAGGGGGTGGGTCAGTGGCTGGCAGGAGGCACCAGCACAGCCCACAGAACCATGTGTGCCCTGCAGGGCACAGCAGCTCCTCTGCCACCGAGTGCCCACCACAGCTGGGCACTTCTGCTCCCCTGCACCTCTGCTCTGGCTGCAGGGGCTGTGTCCCTGCTGGCAGTGGGTCTGGCAGCTGAGCCCGCAGGAAAGGCTCCCAGGGCAGCAGAGCAGAGGAGCCTCTGTGCCCCTGCCAAGGGAGGGGAGCATGGCAGCAGCCTCGGCCAAGGCAGCACAGGGCTGCCTTTTTAATGGGGAAGTGGCTGGATCACCCCATCAAAATGAGACTTTTGGTCTCAACTAGAAAAAGAAGAGACCCTCCAGAAGTATTTAATTCTGGTGTAGTTTTAATGAAAAGTCAGCTGTTTGTTTCAAAATTAATGGACATGTTTTAACACGCTTTCTGAAACCCAAAAAATAAGTGAAGAATTACTTTGGATTTGTTAATTACAATCAGTTTACATTTCTAATGTCTTAGTATCTTTTTTTAAGTATCACATACAAACACATTTTCATAAAATTATGTTTTTACCTAGAACAGAGCCTTGCAATAAGGTTTCATTGCACTGAAAATCCCAACAAAGCAGACTCTGCCTGTTAGCTTGCATTAACTGAGTCTTTGGCTGATATTTCCATGGAAGGTATGCTGATCTTTCTAGTAGTGTCAATAGAATCACATTACTGCTCGAGTCATCATTTTCTAAAAGCTGTTTGGCAGCTCACCATTCATCCCCTACAGTTAGATTCAACACTGCTTACAGCATCTAATAAACACAGTTAGTTATATACAAATTAAAGAGATCCTTCAGTGTTTTTCCTAATGTGGTTAATTTCATAATAAAATGCTGTATCTACTTAAAAATGTTACTTTTTTTTTTTTGACCATGAATCTTAATGCTTTATTTGTGATATCTGAGGTCTTAGTAACAATAAATGCTTTTTCTGCTTGATACAAAGAGTTCGGTGGTTTAATTAAAGGGGATTAATTGAATTAACCAAATTAATTAATTCAGTTAAACCAAATGCTTAGAAAGACAAGGTTAAAAAGTAGTTGTGTTATGCTCTTCATTATTGTGTGAGTGTTCACAATCCACTTCAGCACAAAGTCAGCTGGGTAGGATGGAACCACTGGTGAAAGCAATTAAACTAACCTTGCTGGCTTTACAGTGAAATAGGGTTTAATGACACTAATAAACAGCAGGATAATAAGAGCAGAAAAAAAGAGCAGCTGGAGCACTAACAAAATGAATTATGGCATCACAGCTGAGATTGATAATGAAAACCCCTGGACAGTAACTTCTCCAGCTAGTCCAGCTGTTTCCAAATAGCCATCTGTCTGGGCCCCAAGGCTATTTGATGTGTGGATACTCTTAAATTAACTTAGCAGAGCTCAGTCAAGAAGCTACAGGAACAGTGTGATAATGTTGAAAGCTGATGTGATATTAGCAATATAAACTTATACTGGTTTAAGAAAAAAAATTGAAAAGGGGTAATTTTGCAACTTTCTTTGATGTGATGAAACAGCTGTGTGTCCTAGAGTCCTAAAATAAATTATTTGATGACAGGAAAGCTCTGTGAGAGTGATTAAAAGGAAATTTGTTTTTCCTTTTGAAACAATTAGGCAAAGGAAGTCTTATCTCTACATAAGTCTCCAAAACAACTTAAGTATAGTTTATAGGAAGATTAAATTTCTTCAGACACAGGAGTTTTTTAATCAATTCAACTGTCAAATGACACAGTCCACCCTTAGCCCCTATTTTTCTTCATTGCAGCATTCTGAGAATGGGTTCACCTTGTCCTCTGAAAATCAGCTTGTAATTTTCCCCTTTAAGATTTTACATGCATGAAGACTGCAAACTATGACTGTGTAATCATCTAATATCATATTCATCCTTTTCCACATTGGTGTGTTGTGAATATATAGGTTTGTTTCTCAGAAGTGGGAAAAATGCATCTCTAACTTTTGCTGGTATCATGGACAATGGAATGTGTGAAAAAACATGCCTTGATGAGATGATAAAAATATTAACAAATTGAAAAGAGAGTCCAAGCCACAAACATTAAATTGCAATCACTTAAAAAGCATTAGCAAGCCTGCGAGGTCAACCTCTATCATTATCTCCAGAAATGCAATTAACAGTGACAGAATTAATTATGTATTACAAACAGAAAAATTCATCTTTTATGTTTCAAATTTATAATGAGAATAATTTTAAGATAGGAGATTTGAATTCACTGTTTTCAGATATTTAAACTCATATATATATATATATATCTGTGTTTTCTTTTAAAAAGAAAAGATGCCTAAAATTATTTACGAGCTCATAATAAACTGTAGTAGAGAGGCTATGAAATCCCACTTGAATAAAACTTTGATTGCTTTGCCAAAATTTTCTTTCTATGTCAGTCAAGTCTGCTGGAAGACAATGTCTCACTGATTTTATCTTTTCATCATTTTTGTGCTCTATCATTACATTATTTAATCTTCTAGATCTAAGCTACTAAAACCAAGAATGCTACTTCCCTTAATGCATATGAACACCCTATATATACAAACACATATAAACACAGTTTTTTCCTGTTGTGATGTATGATTTTGTTCCTCAGAATTAATTAATTTCAGCTATTAAAGATCCCTTAGGCAATTTCAAGGACTGGTAAATAAAACCTGATATTTCATAGATTAAAACTGCAACATAAATATAAATAAATGTTGGAGAATCTACAGAGCCCTTGTAACAAAGTCCTATCACCAAAAATTATCACTCTCCTGTAGTTCAGGGCAAAGATTGACCATCACAGCTGTGCCAGTGCCAGCAGACTGGAGGGCACCCTGAGCTGACTGCTGCCACATCACTTCCCTCTCTTCTACACCTGAACAGCCCAGCTGAACAGCCTCACACCTTCCCTTGGCTGTGGAGGTCCCTCCCTGCATGATCAGGGCTCAGTCAGCCACAGAGGCTGGGAAAATGCACACTGGCTGAGGAGCCAGGGAGTCCTGCATGAGCAGACACAGAGGCTGCAAGTAATCATCATTTGATGATGATGATGATGATTATTTGTGTTACTAAGTGAATGGTAACTTGGCCCTGTCAGTAAAGCCTTGTCCACAAACAGGACCAAAAAATAACACATTACAGTGCCAGTTCTTGAAGCAATCTGGCTTTATTTCCCTTGGCAATTTTTTAGGTTGTTTGGGTTTGTTTTCTAATTTTTTTTTTTTAGAACTGTACAGACCAAATTCTGCTGTAAATAACTACAGGAAAATGCCAATAGAATATCTACCAGATAGAAATCCCACAGTCCAGAAAAATTGTACTACAACCCATCTGGTAAAAATCAGCTTTATATGATGAGTAGCTGGTAGGTGTCTAATCCTGCCCTAGGAAATACTGTGCCAGCAAATTGTTATAGTTTTCTGAAAATATTGAATTTAGGCCCTATCTTGTATTTTTCATTGCCACTTTCAGCTGCACAGGCAACTCAAGTAGAGTAAGTATTGACTGTAAAGAAACAGCCAAGCATTTCCAGCAGACATTACCTTCTCTCTCAGCATTAGTGTCCTACTGTGTGGCCTATTTTTTAATACAACTCAAAGTATAAAAACTCAACACAATGTAAAAAACAAACCAACCAACCAAAGAAACCCCATAATTTAATTCACTTACCTTTGGCTTCCTGTTTAGCCCAGAATTTTCTCACTACCTCATTAATGTACCTCTCCTCTCTCAGCTTCTTTTGCCACTGACGTAGCTCTTGTACTTCACTATCACAACGAACCTGTGAAAGGGGAATCAGAAAAGAATACAAAAATTATATACTTTTGTGTTATCCAGGATGAGGATACAATTTTTTTCACAAGGCTGTGGCTGGGCAAATATGTGACAGCCATCCTTTCTGCTGGGCCTGAGGTAAAAGCAAAATCCCAGAGGTTTTCAGTTTTCAGCTTACACAGAAATAAAATCCACATAATTGACAAATCCAATTGAAAACATAAATATGTCTATTAGGGAATCACTTTGATTACCAAGGACTCCTGGGAATGATATTGCAGTGAGATGCTAATTCTTTGAGTTAATTAAAATTTAAAGCCTTATGCTGAAGGGTATTAGTGCCTTCAGAAAAGCATAACACTATAAAACCAGCCCACTGACCAAAATAATAGAGCAGAAGAGACACATAAAGGGTCATGCAGAAGAAAATTTATTCCATCAACCTGATTCACACCTGCCATCAGCTGCAAATAGGCTGACTGGCAATCCCACCCACACAATTTTCACAAACAGGAGAGCCATTAATCTGTTATTTAAAGTAATTGGACTGCATTACAAGGTACCTATTCTTTGTCAGTCAATCACCCCGTGAAAGGCATAATTCTGCTTCCACAAAAAAAATACAACAGTCAAAGGCCTTGATTTCATTTAGATGTAAGCTGAATGTTTCTAGTATTGTTTTTGTACTGGTGTAGTTCCTACTAACATAGAAGTGAACTAGTTACATTAACAGCTTTTACCACTCTGCTACTTCCACTTGTTGTAAGCAGGATTTGATTAATTAGCAGAGTGCTGCCCATGGTTGGCATTCACACAATTACTGCCTCCAGTGCACGAGGTCCTGTCCTGAACAGCAGTGGAAAGGGACATGCAGCATTACCTTGGACACTGGGGATTCTTCTCTTGGTCATACGCAAATTGTAATAGACTTATTTTAAAAATGCCGTTTCTGGGGTTTGGGATTTTCTTCTTAAATGTTACATATAAAAATGTCACTGTTTCAGGACTCCATTTAGAGAAGTTGTGGCTGCCCCATCCCTGGCAGAGTGCAAGGCCAGGCTGGATGGGGCTCTGAGCAGCCTGCTCTGGTGGAAGGTGTCCCTGCCTATGGCAGCAGGGCTGGAAATGGATGATCCTTAAGGTTCCTTCCAACACAAACCATTCCATGATTCTAAGGTTCAATGTCCTAGTAATTCACTCTGAAGTGGAACAACATGGTAGAAACAAGCAGCAATAAGTTCAGTTTCTCCTGGACACATTTTTGCTTGCAGGAAGATAAGGACTTTGTTCCCTAGAAAATTTCTAAATGAAATTGTGTATCTTGTATTCTTACAGGATATGGTGAAGAGTTTGCTCTGTGACTTGAACTCTATTATACGCTCTTCTCCATTACCTCTGTTTTTCTCCCACTTTACTAAGACACATACAGAGCAAAAGAGCACAACTTAGTTTTCCACTAGTTATAGAAAACTCCAAACCTTAAAGAAAACAGTTTAAATTATTTATCAAAAGTATTCTTCCTCCCAGGATTTCTCCTCTATGCTGCAGCTAAGAATGCAATAAACAGTAGCTGAACTCCCACAGCACTTTTCAATCCACTGAGGAGAAGATAACTTGCTATGTTTCAGACACTGCACTGGCAGGGCAGAAATACAATACAAGGTTACTCAATCAATAAAAACAGACAAGACTTTTGCTCAGTGACTTGAGATCAGATACATCTTAGAGCTCCAATAATATTCCATTATACTGATATAGTTCTGTTGTATCTTCTATAAAAGTTATAAGGGCTTCTTACAAGGTTTCTATGAAATTTTAAAAATTAAAGAAGTTACAGCTACTAGTGATACTAGTAATAGTTATAGAAAAAAAATAAGGTAATGCTCTATTAAATCCATCAGATACTATTTTCAAATACAAAATATAATCCAAACACAGGATAATTTCTTTAGGCTTTCAAGAGACATTTTTTCTTTTATGCTGTCATATAAGACAGCATATTTGCTTTTATAAGCCAAATAATTCCTTATTACATGGAGTCAGTTTGTCTGCACAGGAAAGGGTTAAGGAAATGCTTATGGAACACAACCATATAAATGAGAGAAGTGCAAGAAGCAGGGAGATAGAGAAATTACTACCTCTATATTTAAATATATAATTTCTGAAAACATGATGTGTCCATTTGCAACTTGAGCTGTGTAAGACCTGTATTTTGGCACATGACAGGGCCACGGCTGTCTCTGTATATTGAACATAAAGACAATAATTCTTAACAGTTAAAAGATAAAAGGCAAGTATAGTAGCTTCTATATAGTCTCCCTAAGCAAATAAAACAGTGGCAATGCAGTGAAATACAGAGTTCTGAGATAAAGGCAGAGTCAGATACTCAAATACTCCAAAGTCAGCATTAAATCCAAGCAGTAAAATGAGCTCCCAGGACAAAGTGTCTTTTTAGAAAAGTGACCAAAGAAGGAAAAAGAACACAGATATGCCACCTGCAGTAAAACAGGTGACAGGAATGTACCAAAATACATTAAGAAATTCCAAATATGCTTAATAGATTGTAGTTCAGCATAGTTATAATGCAGTTTAGCCTACTGATAATGCCTTAGAAAGTTCTGCTTTGAAACCAGAGTGCAATGCTAGCATGATGAAAAAGCCATGACTTAGCAGCAAAATCTCCAGGCAAATAAAGAGAGAGTCAAGAATGTTGTCCAAACAACTGACATGTCTCCTGCAGACCAGCACTGCCTGAAGCCCTGGAGGGGTTTTAGCTTTGAAGGGAGAGTTCACTCCCACACTTGCTGTAAATAACAGGGAATATTTGTGTGACCTTCTGGGTTAAAGCCTTTGCTGGTAGCCACAGCTTGCTGAAAAGCAATACATAAACTGTGATAGCAAAGGTACAACTATGCCTTGCAAGATACGAAGCAAAACTGGTGCATTTTTATCTTCAGCTTTTGCTCAAAGGATGTGTATAAAACAGCACTAAATATTTACATAATGCTGTCCAATTTCAACTCTAAGATATTACAAGATTTAGTCCAAACCCCTGGCTTTCAGTGCTAGGTGAGAACATGTAGCACAGCAGATAAGTATAACACTAAATGTTCACCCCCAGACATCAGAGGAAATTCTATTAATGAAAAATTTCTGTTAGTCTGGAATAGTTATGCAAATTTTAGAGATTAAAAAGATCCCATTTTAAAAAAAAGGCACTAAGCAATGATTCTGCAGTAGAGGGGTGAAGGAATATATCATATTTTGCTGGAAAAGTGCCTGGAAAATTGACACCCAGCTGAATACTGCCTTGGCCCATGACAGATGGATGGAACCTCAATAAAAAAGGATAGTGGAAAGTGAAAAGGACGAATTCAGATGACAGAGCTGTCTCAAGGCTTACTTTAGGGCTCCTCCTGGCCCTCAGAGCCCTCTCAAGATGATGTCTTCCTTTCTGTGATCCCCTCAGAGAACTCAGCAGCTCTATTTCCCACTGCTATTTGTTCTGGAATTCAGTTCTTGATTAAACTTGAAATAATTGTCATAGTGCCCATCAATGTCTTTGAATGAAAGATTGTAGCAAGGACTTTGTTGATAGCAGCCATTAATTATTACTACAACAATTAAACAAGTGTTTTCCTGAAATGAAACAAGTGTTTTTCTGCTGCAGATAAGGATGAATTTACTCTTTTGAACATGCTTTATTTGTCAGAGTTCTCACAATTCTGTACCTATGGCTTTTTCCCCCCAGAAAACCTTTACTGCCTGATCCATTTTTGCATTTTTTGCCATGTGTTTTTGATACTGGCATGCTCAGACAGCTGGAGGTAGCAGAAACAAGTGAAGTATCAAGAGAAGACTGATGCTCAGTCAGTTATAGAACGAGCTAAACTCTACTGCCTAAATCAATATGGTCAAGAAAATACCTCAAAAAATGAGTCCACGGAAGATGAGTCTTAGAAGACCAAGGATGAAGTACCTGTCTCTCCATCACACTGTCATGTTATCTGTGTGCTCATGGTTAATTATCCAGTATTATCACACTATGTCAATTTTTATTTCAAAGTTCTAAATCCTCTGAATTATAAAACAAGGTTTAATGGAAAACTTTAGAAAATAGTTTAAAATTTTTACACAAAAATATCTTTAGAATGCAAAAAGGCACTATTTGTAAGTATTCAGTTATTATCAGCTATTAACATTAAATCAGCGTTAGCTGACTGAGCTATTAATTTTAAAAGCAAATAATCTGAATTATTTGGTAATTTTTCATAATATACTTATCATTAATGTGATAAAATCCCATTTAAGCCTAATGTTCTCTTAATGTGCAAGCCCAAGGATAACACACTGCCCTATGTAGTAATTTGGTACTAATGATTTTTATTTTACATTCTGATTGCAATTTTTAATTTTTAAAACCCCATGTTCTTTCACCTCGAATAAGGTAAAACATTAATAGCTAATTTTATAGCCTGAATTATTTTTTATGTCTCCTACCTTTTATAGCTAGAGTTTCTCTCTTATTTCTGGGATTGGTTTAGAATTATAAATACCAGTGTAAAAATCCTGAAGTTCATCTGTGCAAGGCAGGATTGTGCCCTTCACAAGCTTTCAGAGAAGCAGAAGATATCTGAGCAACCTTGCAGTGCTCAGCAAACACAACTGTTATTGGATAATGGCTGCCCCCACTGTAAGGATGCCTGCAGGGATACTGTCAGTGCTAATTAATGTTAGTGTCAATGTTGTCTCTGTTTAAAAAAAGAAAAATAATGGGAAACAAACAAGCAGAAAGAGTCACAAAAATCCATCAGACAAGAAGAACATTTCAAGGTATTTCATTGTCTTTAGCTGCACAGCACATTATAGAAGCCACTTATATATTCATGCTTGTTAAAAATAGTAGAGAACTTAACAGAGAGTGTTTTAAACTGATTGTTATTTAAAGGACACCTGACATCCAGAGATGTCTCACTGTCCATCACAACAAAATTGCTGCTATATCTGGAGGCTACTTAGAAGCTTAAGTTTTGATAAAGGAAGTCAAAGACATTTCTTCATCACCAAAGTCACCTGAATTTCAAGTCCATTTCTTCCTGAAGTGTGAATGTATTAGAGCTTTTTAAAAAAAAAATTGACAGAACTTGTTCAGGATTTTCAAAATAATTTATTTAGTACCCTAGGATTAGCATGGCTGTTACCCTCCAAAATAATAGCACTGGACAATTTTCTTCGTATTTATTTTATGCACCTTGTTCTTCCCCCTTAAACTGGAATAGCACTAGTGCTGTGCTGCTATTGAGCCTCACAACATCTGCTTGTCATTTTGTTTCCCTTTTCCTTGAACAACAGCCTTCATGCCTCTCATAAATCTCCTGTCTCATTCTTGGTCTCAGTTCCTTGTCCTTTCTATCTGTATGCTTTTATTTCTCAACAGACCTCACCAATCCTCCTCATGCATCTCCACACTCACTCACATATCCCTGCATGAAGCAAAATAACACTCCAGCCTTGAGAGCTACCCAAAGCAACTTTCAGTTACACAAAGAAAATTGTTCAGTGTTAATTGTACTTTGGAAAATCGAATTTCTGTGGATTTTTTGTTGTTGAGGAAAACAGTGAGATTACATCAGCATAAATGCCTGTGAAAAAATTGAAGTCACTAGGCATAAGGCAGAACAACATCCAAAGCCAATGAACCATAGGGGTCTCAGCAGCTATTTATAGTATCCCCTACTTAAAATTTATGTAAGGATTTTCCCCGGGGCCTTCACAGTCCTACAGTTTTCAACATCAAGCAAAATAATTATAGATTACTCTTACCCGATAACCTCTCCAGAAGGACTGAATTAGTATGCTGGCTTCTTCTTCTGACAGAAGCAGAGATAGAGGAACTGGTGGTCTAGGACTTAAAAAAAAAAAAATTAACAGACAGCCTATAAATGTAAAACACTTTCTTCCCTAACAGTATGTTTTATCAAAAAGAGAAATGTTGTTCAGGAGCCTGAAAGACAGTTTCTTATTGCTCTGAAAACAAAATGCACAAAGAATGTCTCCTTTACAAATGTATTGATACACTACAAGAATTCCTTCTGAAAACAATATTGTACAAATGGCACATTTCTTATGGTCATCTTTCTTCCTCTTCTACATGTACTTCAGACTCCCCCTATTATGGTAAGGTTTGGGGTGGCAGTGGGAGGTGGGCAAGGGAAGCAGTCTGCCATTTGTAAAGCAGGAAAGGTTTTAGTGTGTGTGCAACAATGAACAGACTTATATGTAAATGTTTATTACATGAAATACACAGAATATAAACATATCTTAGTACATTCATTTACATTATGGTGTCACTTTAAATTAAAACATGCTGAAAAATAATGATTATCAAATCTGCACAGCATGAATCCATGTTTAGAAATATTTAAACAAGTTCTTAAAATGCTGAAATTTTACTTTTGATACCATATACACTTTCTTTTGATGATAAAAGAATGCAATACATTACTGAACTCAAGCATTTTCAGCCAAAATATATGGTAGCTTGAAAGAACATTTGGTGATTCTGTTGCTACCAACTTTAATGGGAACAAGCTAGTAATTAAATTCAGCCATCACTAGCAAAACCTCAAATGACTATATCAAACCTTGCTTCCCAAAAGCCATTTTCTATCGGTGTTGATTTATTTCTCAGACACAATGATAAAAGAAATCATCCATTAGAAAGGACAAAACAAAATTTATTTCTATACTGTCTTTTATGAGAAATGTAATTTGCAGCCAAGAACTACAGAGTAATAACACTGCAACTCATGAAAACACCAGTTCTAAAGAGAAGCCTTGGCACAGCACTAGAATGGCTGCCAAGAGCCACTCTCCCTGCATGGGGAACAGACTGAACACAGCCTTGACTTGGAAGAACACATGATGAATTTGGATGCAGCACCCACCTACAGACACACAGCCCATGCAGGGACATGATCTATAGTATTTTTATTATAAAGACACTGCAAAGCCCATCAATAACAAGCTATTTATTTATGCAGTCTTACATTTTCTGGCTAAAATGCTGCAACATCTTTTGGAAATTTATTTATGGCATATTACAGCCCAAGCTAGGAGGCTTGACAGCTTACATTTTCCTTTCACTTAATTTCATTCATATTAGTCTCTGCCCTAGTAAGCTTCCTATGCTCTCTGACGTCTTTCTCTCAGGGCTTGTCTTCACTGCAGGAGCATTTCAACTTGGAGCACAGCCTTAGCTCTTATCTAATGCTACACTGACTCCACTGGTTCAGCCTGTGTACTCAGCTAAATTGGTCTCATCATCATGTCAGCTGGGTTTTAGCCTACATTTATTTTAATGTGAACTAAAACCTTGGTCTGTTTGGAAAAGTCGAAATAAGGCAAAAATAAAAAGCAGTCTCTCCATTGAGCTAAACTGTCTTAGCCCTGTGAACATTAATTAGCATTTCTCCTGCTCAGGGGAAATCGTAAGTGCTGGACAAGCAAGGCTTCCTGAGATAACAGCTTCTTATAATCAGCCTTAAAAATCTGAAGTTGGACTGTGCTGGTTTCCCTGATAGGCTTTCATCCTCTGTTCTATTTTAGATCTTTTTGAAAACCAAAACTTAGGGAAAATCACAGGAAGACCTACATATTTTACAGCAGTTATATCAAAGACACTGAACTTTCTCTAAGAATAAGTACATCTCCAAAGAACAACTTGAGATTTCTCCTAGCCTGCAAGGTCAACTTTAGCATTTCATTGCTTTCATTTTCAAATTATAAAAATGTCTAGCTTATAATCCAACACTAAAACTGAGACAGCAATGTGAAAAATCAAGCAAGAACAGGATTTCCTTTTTAGTATCAGTCACTGGCAGATATCAATCCTTTCAAATGGCACAGCTTTAAAGACCAGAAGTCATGCCAGGTCCAGTTTGGTCTAAGGGAATAAATGGAGAATATACACAATTGTCTGCAGGTCAAATAAAAATAGAATCTGAGCAGGGGCAGTCACCCCTCAGCAGCCAACGAGAGGATCTGTCATTTGTGGCAGAAGACAGCTGGATGCCTGCAAGATGCAAACTGACAGTACAGTGTACACTGAATACATTCTGCTTATTTAGTCCTTGATTATGCCCAATCTTAAAAGCCCACATATGAAACAGTGATATCTGTTGAGATATACGTATATTGCTTAACATAAGTTGCACCTGTAAAAGAGCATTAAAAAAATATTTTTATTATTTTATTTTACCAAATCTGCATAAAGCAGACACTGACCAAAGTTAAATTCCAGAAACATGTTTCTTGCCTTCTGAACAAGCTTGTACAGATCTTGATTCTGTGAAATATTCACTACTCATATGACATTATGAAAGTGGAATTTTGCACCCAGAAGATACAAAACAGACTTGCATTAAATAAATGGAGGAGGCATGGAAAAAGGTTCTTAATGAAGACATGTTTCGGATTTCCTCATGGACAGAAGATGGGGTTCTCAAAGAATTCTGAAAAGGGAGGAAAAGAGCCTTTCCATTTTTTTGTCTCCAAAACAGACAAAATAATCTCTGGGCGTTCATAGTCACAGTGATGGGCACTGAATTCAGGCAGTGTTTCCACACACTAATACCCAGAAACTCTGATTATCTTCACATTCCAATCTGTCTTACAAATAGTCCTGATTGCTTCCTTGGAAACAAAATATAAGATTAAAAATGTAATCAAGAAAACGTTCAGTGTATATAATTCAGGGTTTTGTAATGGCTCCTCCTGCTCCAATCTGTTCCCTCACATTCAAGCAGCAGCCCCAGAGGCAGGTGCCTGCAGGGAGCAGCAGTGCCTGGGGCTCCTGGTGTGCAGGTGAGAGGGGAATCTCCAGGTGCAGCCATGGAATGGCTTCTAGAAAGCTCTTCTCTAGAAATATTGAAGCAACTCTAATGAAAAGGATGAGGCCTCCTAAGTTTCAATACAGTGACCACAGCCACATTCACTTCACCTTTAATTCGACTGTGATGGTTATTGTTCTTGAATATTCAGATCATGTACAATCACAGGCAATGACAGAGTCACTGTAAAATTCATAATCTAAAGACCACAGAATAGGGGTAAATATGACACACAAGTAAATGACCATGATGGTCTGCATAACTCTTAAAAAAAGGATTCTGAGAAAGTCTTTGTTTTGGGAAATACTCAAAAAAATCATGTGCTGGTCTGAATAACCAAAAAAACTCTGCTAGAAATTTCTCAAAGTATTTATCTTTCATATTTGCTGTATTTCTTATTCCTAATCATAGCATCTAGAAACATGACAGCAACAGCTGCCTTCTTTAGGTCTTTCTTCTTACATGCCTATCCAGATTCCCAAAAGTGTGCAATAATGAAAAAGTATTGTTTTGATACAAAATAAATGCCTCAAAAATACTTCTGCTTAAAAATACTACTAAGGTCATTTACCCAAAAACCAGGAAAATGGTGGTTCATAAGCAGTCAGACACTGAAGTACTGATTCATCTGACCTGGTATTTAAAATCAATTACATATATTCATCAAATATTACACAGGCACTGTATGAGCCTCTCAGATTTCCAGGGAAGTATTCCCACAGACACCTGACAAAAATACCCTGGAACATTTTCATAGGTCAAACAGAGTGTGAACTGAGACTTTTCTTTGTAACATTTTCAGTATTAGTACAACTATCCCATAGTCAGCAATAAATTCCTAATCACTAGTTTTCTTTTGCAACAATCTAAATGCACAAGAATAAGATTGTCAGTATTTGGGAAAAAAAAATCCTTACAATATACAAGAAAACATTTTAGTGCAGTATATGGAGAGTCCACTTTTGAAGGATTGTAAATGTAGGAATAACCAAATTTAAACTACTTAAAAGAGGAACTGCAACCAAGTAGACATCTTAAAGTGTGACTCCTGCTAGTTAGCAGGAATCTCAACTCCTCTATCATCTTGTCCATATAAAAGTTCCTTTATACTGTCAATAGTGAATTGAATTTAAAAATGTTATAAATACATTTGAGAATGCTATCAAAGTGCCCATAGTGATAATATGCATTCAACTGCTAGACACATACCAACTATTTATATACTTGCTTATCTATTTATAATGAAGAAAAGACAAGACTGTGGAGCTAACATGAGAAAGTTGTTGTGTGGGGAGGCAGAGTCATGTAACCAACAGGAGACTGAGGCAGAACAGGTGATTTGTAACCAGAATGTCAGAGGAATGAGAGAAAGCACAGCAAGAAGTCTTTGTAATGAGAACATGCCAGAAAAATAGCAGAGCAAGAATCTTTTGTCTTCAGTTTTTTCTGAAAATCACAGTGATTTCTTGTCTCAATAGGCTCTCCTTGGGAGGACGTGCCCACTTCAATGCTCCAACTGAGCTCCCATGTGCTTGCATACTTGCCACATGTTTTGGAAGTCACAGAGCATTGCCTCAGCTTTCTCTCTCGTAGGACCAATGTTTATGCAGTCTGTGAGAGTGTCTGTGGGCCTGGACTGAAGGAAACCAAACATGGACCTGTTCCAAAGGCCACTCATCTCAACGGGAAAATTCCCATCTATGTTTGTGTACTTTAGGTCAGACTTTGTATGCAGAAAACATGAAAAACTCCCCTTAGTGCTCCAACAGCAACATTAGGAAGATGTCACAAAGCACTTATAAGTTTTCAGTTTTCTCATTGCCATTTTGACAACCTTTACATAAATTGAAACGTTTTTAATGCATCAGATATTACAGCCATAACACCCTCAACCCCATAAAGCACCATTACAAAATATAAATATTTTACACAGAAAATTGCTGCAGTCTTTCAACACACAGTTTTTAAGTAAAAAATTTCTCCTTTGTTAACCTGAATTCTGCCACATTACTTGAATGACAATTTTTACTTGGAAACACACAGAATAACATCCACAGGGATGTATTTGTTGGACTTCCTGTTATTACAATAAAATGTTATTTAAAGCTCAAATTATTAAAGAAAATTAAAGAACATATAAGGCAAACAAAGCATACTCCAAACATGGCTGGATTAGACACAAATCAATTGAATATAGCAGTGTGCAGAAAGCACAGCCTGTAGAAAATGGGCATATTATGGAAAGAAAAAAAATCAGTCACCCGTGCAAAATTACCCCTACTGGCCATCTGAGAGCTGACAATGAAGTCAACTGTAAAGGCAGCTGAGACCAGCAGACTTCACCCAATTAAAATATCTGGGGGAGGGAGAAAAAAAATAATCAATGTATATATATGTGTATACAGACATTTGGCAAAAAGCCACTACTCCAAATTTAGTAATCATTTATATCTTAGCTGCCCACTTCAGTAAAGCCATGATAAAGTTATTTTCTCTGTGTCTGTACACTTGTTTTGGTACACACAGATAGATTAAACCAGGAAATGTGTCCTTCTGAACTGGGTAGCCAGTAAATATCTCTAATAAAAAAGAAGAAAATGCAGATTAAAAAAAATCTTGTGAATTATTTTTTATCTGAACATCAAAAGCCAGGAAATGCTTGTTCCTAACATAGGTGCATACACTATACACCACTCTCTCTCATTGGATGTAAGGTCCAGGGTTATGTTGAACAATGCTATCATATTATTATATTTACATGACAGGCTTTTTTATATCACTGTTTTTCAGAGCAGGGGAACAGTGTTTTATTGGTTTCTTCATATTTCTTCCATTAAAATGCTGAATAAGGTAGGGAAATTATGCTGCCGTGTTACTCAGACTATCTATGCCAGAAAAGTAAAATTTCAGAGGGATCAGAGCATAATCAGAGCTCACTGACTTGCCCTGATTCAGTACACAGAGCTTGGTTACTTGCAGCTGAGCTTCAGTGCTGTTCAACCAGAAACACCACTGGAAAATGCTGACAAAAGGCAACTGTGGTGCTCATTAGCATATTTATAGGATTACAAAACGTTCCCAGCTCTAATTCTGTTTCTTCACTTGGTTCTTTCAGCAGCCTCAAATGGAGGAACAGGCACATCACTTTGTACCCCAGCAAGTGCCCACCAAACGTGTGCTGGTTTTGTGTTCAAATCCACTTTCCTGCCCTCTGAAAGGTGCAGCTGTCCTTTAAGGCAACAGAAATGTCTGGCATGTGATACGGAGATTACCAGTCAGCACTGAAGCTGCTCCTTCTATTGCTTTGGAAATCTGCTTGGGGAATTGAAGGTTCCCAGGGGATGGAATATTTTGTCAGCACTACTGGTAACATGCAGAACTCAGTGGAAGACAAGGTACCTATACTAAGATGTCACAGCTATTATTACACTAAAGCTGGAAACAAATTCAAATTTTACAGGCTCCTTCACCTACAACATCTAGGTTTTAAAGGTACAAGGTTTGCCTTTAAAATTCTGAAAACTGATGCAGCATTTAGGTCTCCTTATTAGGGAAAAGTAGGCTGCAAGATCTCATTTAGAAATGCATTGCACAGAAAGTGAAGCTCGTAAGACTGTGGCTTTGACAATTCTTTAAAAAAATTAAATTGAGCTTCAAAGAAGAAACTGGAGGCACTGGAGGGGAGCCAAAAATGTCATACTCAAGTATGGAATACATTAAAAAAAGCTGGATCCCGGATAGAACAAAAACAATAGTCCTCTGGGGGTTTTTTGTTTTGGTGGTTTTTTTAAGCATTAAGACTGCTTGGCACTGATAAACCCATCTAAACAGTTGGGATAAGGATGCTTGCCATCAAAATTTGACCAGCACTTTTCAGTATATTGTCTCTCATATATTCTTAATCCTGTTTAAAAAGTTAAAACTCCTCTAAAAAATAGAAATGGAAATGACAATAAAAAGCACAGAATCAATTACATTTTAAATGTGATAGCTGGAAGGATATAACAATAAACTATTTATGGGATATCCAGGACATAATAATAGATTTTCTTTTTTTATTCTTATTTAATATTGCAGCCTTTCATTTTGCTCCAATAATATTTACTTCAGAAGCAGCATTTTTTAAATCTGTAATTTTAGGATAAGATCACTAAAAGTAGTTATTTAATAGTAATTTTAATAATTATTATTTCAAGGGCCTACTTGTTTATAGAGGATTTAAGATGAAGTGTATCAACTTAAGTAGGACTCTGACACTCCAGTGTCCTTGTGGAGCTGTCACTCCGTTATTTAGGAGCACCACCACTAACAGAAGCTGTGAGTCATCCAGGCTGTGATTCCACTGTGTATTTCTCTCGTTGGCAAAGCTGACTTAAGCAGTTCCTGCCACCACCTCTCTATCTTAGCCGCTCATTTGCTCAATTCACCTTGCCCTGAGCCCTTCATTTTAATCCTTTGTTTGTGCCAATACACAGGTTTGCCACTCGGCAAGATGAAGCAGACTGGAGAAATGATCTGTTTTCAATAGCTGTACAAACCCTCCTCACACATTTTGGCAGAGAGATTCCTAACTCAGAGCAGGGCCCTGATCAGAATAATCCAGCACCCTACCAAACAGACAAGGTGGTATCAGGGTGCCTACAAGCAGGTTGGGGTGAGGTACAGGAGAGAGCAGGGAACATTTTGTTCAACTTTACTTCCAAGAGAAATGTTTGTAAAACCGTGATCTCAAAGATTTTATCTTTGGCACAAACATCCATCCTCACAAACCCGCGGTACCAAAACGGCCAAGGGCTCTCTGTGTGCTTAAGAAATGGGTGCAACAACCAGGCTGCAGCTCACGTTCACTTGACAAAGCACAGCCTTAAATGGGCATCTTGTTGGCAAGAACTGTGTTTGACAGAATGAAACAGATGTGTCCCAGCAGAGGCAGGTTAGAACAGCAGTGCCAGGACAGCACGATGGCTGCAGGTACCAGAGTTGAGATGAAATGGGTCATTCTCCAAAGGGGTCTTGTACTCAGAAATGTCCAATACAGCTCTGACCACCTCTCAGGGAGTCAAAGTTAACCCTTTTGACACAATTGCCAGCTTATCCACAAAGACCTGTGATAAGGAGCTTTCCTCTTGCTCCATTGGTGTCTCAAGGTTCCAAGTGTTACACGTCAAGAATTCAAAGAAGTTAAATTTCCACTTACATCACATAACAAAGTAAATGTATCTACAAAGATATTAATCTCTGTTTTCACCAATTACCAATCCAGATTCCAGTTAAGTTTTCACATTGAAAATTTTCTTTAAAATCTGACCTCTGTTAGTTTCTTATTCTCTCACTGTGGACTAATCCTTTGCTTTTCTCACACAGCAGCTATATTTTAAAGTAAATGCAGTCTCAAGGACAGTAGCATTTCTTTCAAAACTATTGTGCTGTTTGGTTCTAAGAAAATAACAAGGAATATATGATTGAGGCTGCCAAAAACAAGTGCTGATTTCTCAAAGTCATAAATGTCTGCAGAAATGCATCCCGATACTAAGAATTGTTACAGGTATTTCCAAAGCAGCTGCTTACAGTTAGAGAAGAATTTCTTGACTATACTCTCAAAGATTTCCACAAGAGAAAGCAGCATTGAAAAAAATGTTTTACTCCTTAGTATAAAGATGTTCATAATACTACCAGACCATTCAAATGTCCTTCATTCTACAATTAAAATGTTTAGGAATTCAAAATTAATTTATCTGCGAACAATTCTGGTACAAAATACCTTGTCAGTAATACACTAGCCAGTTAGAAACTATCACATAGTTCTTTGTTGCACACAGTAAAGGGCATTTCTGAGGGCACAGCTGCAACGTATTGAGGCTCTATTACTTTTTTGGGATAGAAGAGGCAAAAGAATAAAAGGAGAAAAAATTATTCTGAGTACTGCAATAACTTACTGGTCCTTTAGCCAGTCCTTAACAAAAGGAATGGAAAACAATTCTGTGAATGACTCATCTTTCCTCTTTGGATTCTTGCTAAAGAAAAAGGAAAACAACTCACATTAATTTAAATTTCAGCTATTCAATTTGCAAATTAGTGCCTTGGAATCACTGAACATACTTAGTAGCAAAAAACATGATTAACTTACTTGTATAACCACTCAGTTAGAAAATCAGAGGGAATAAATTTGGTTCTTTTTTCCTAAAGACAGAAGACAGTTTCAAATTATTTATTATCTTTGGATTGGTCAGATGTTTAAAATAAATTGACTGTTTTTTATTAAATAAAATATACAGTGCATTACTCTGTCTACTCTTTATTGCTACTGCCAACAGTCAGCGGCTCAGCCAAAACTTTAGAAATTTTGTGGAATGATTTTAAGACAAACTATGAGTGAGAAAATTCTACATATATTATCTTGATGTTTACTGCAGTATATCTAGAACAAAGATCTCTGAATGGTGCTCTAAGTGGCAATGTCATTGTGAAGAAATTAACAGAACTCATTCATACATGAAAATATGTTGTAAATTCCTTGCCATTTTGTTTAAAGTTCTATTATCATACTCAAAATACTTCATTTCTTCCAAAAGACAGAGGGAACATTGATTGGATATTGTTTCCTCCTGCATGGAACCAGCTTGAAGATGCTGTGAATACCCACAGGCAGAGTATTGTGTGGCTGCTCTGACCAAAGCATCTGCTGGGTGGTCAGGAAATGAAGGCAGAACCAAAGGAAGGCTTTTGTCTGTCCACAGCCACACAAACCATGGACATTACAGAGAACCAGGTAAAAAGTTCAAAACCTGGAGCTCCACAGCAAAACATTTGTACACTTTGCTCCCAGTTCTCAATCTTAACCAACAAAGAGAATTTTGCAAAATGTTTTGCAGCAGGTTGTCCTTAGGGACTCGTGCAGCCAGTACCACAGAGCTTGCATTTTGATAAAGCCAGAATGGATCAGGAAATCCTTTTTTTTTAAGCATTTCCTCTGACATTCCATCTTGACAGATTGAATGTATAAACGATACAGGTGCTTATTCTGCTCATCACAAACCACAGTAACCATAATGTGCAGAATAGAACATGGAGTTCTGGATGGAATAACAGAGAGCTTGATCAGTATCTTCAGAACCCCTCTGACATGAGATGGATGCACACAGTCACAGTGAACCCTAAAAGAGACTGAGCCCTGCAGCCCCAGGGCACCCAGTGCTTCATCACAATAGCAGCCACTGCTAAAAAAGCAAGCTGAGCTCCCATCCCAACACTTGCCCTGTCAAACAGGAGATTCAACTGTAATAATTGCTTCTTAGGAAAACAATTCACACTGGTCAAAAGCTTTTGTGAAGCTGCTTAATGTCACAAAAGAGGCTAAAGTCTTGTTTAAAATGTAAGAAGTTAAGATACTACTACCACTTACTGAGGAAAATACAATAAACATGTAATTGAAAATCTAAAGCATGACAAATGACTTTATTTTATGCATATCCTCAAATGTGAACAGAGAGGCAGGAAACATGTTCTACATAGTATAATTCTTTCAGTTCATGGTATATGTCATAATTTGGGGGTCAGACACAGGTGAAGTGGAAGAGGAACATCGTGTGAGGTGCTGACTGCCCAGGGAAGAACACAGAGCAGTCAGATAGCTGGGGATGACAAGTGTGAAGTTTAGTGCTGGACTGCAGGGCAGTCCTACAGCATACCCAGGAAAGCTTTTAATTTTCTAAGAGAATCTTACCCTTGATAGAAATATAGTCTGATTCCAACAGAGGGGAAAAAAAACTTCAAAAAAAAAAAAGCTTCAAAAAAGTAAAAAAAGAAACCAGAAGAACAGCAGATGAGATCATCATGAAACAATTATTAATCCTGAGCCATACATGTCTTTATTATCTGTTTTGTGAAAACCAAAGCTTTGGGGTTCAGGTAGGGCTCCATTAAGTGGTTGGCTGGGAAGGAACACAGCTCCTCATGCAATTTTCGCACTTATGCTGATACCAAATGCTGTTCCAATAAGCCCAGCACCTAAACTTTAAGAGACCAATACCTTCACTGCAGAGCTTTCTGTGAGTCACTTCAAATGTTAAATGGACAAATCCTGACTTACACAGAATCTGTGAGCAAACAGCAGAGTCTGATTGTGACTGTACAGCTATTCTCAATCAGGATGAAAATGGGTCCCATTACTTAGGGAATTGTTTCAGAGAATAAATTCTACACTTTGACAACAAAATTCAATTTAATCTAGCAGTTGTAATTTAATCTGTTTTAAGTAAATTGCTTTTCCTTTGCAATGAAAAAAAATTATCAGAACAGGGTTCTCAAAACAGCCATCACCGAAGGAATCAAATTCATCTTGTTTTATCCTTGTTAGAGGCAGTGAACTTAGCAGAGAGGAATTCAATCAAGCTGAATATTTTTTATTTTATTTTCTTTGCCAGGAAACAGTTTATTTTGCTAGTGAATTAAATCATTAGTTGCACAGCAGTCAACATTTATAAAGGGAAAAAATTACATAAATTGACCTGCCTTTGACACATTCCTCCTATGCTGCATGAATCCGGATAAAAAACAGGAAATATCTGTACAATGTGCATTGTTAACCTGCAGATGTGTTTATAAACTGTTTATATACAGAATTCATTTTCCATTTTTCAGTTTAAATATGATGTGCTTGGTAATAGTCATGAAAATATACTGGTGATCAGAAGATGGCAAAGTCATTAGGAAACCTTCCATTCCCTTTCCCCGATCCATCATAATTTTAAATATATCCCATTACAGGGCCTGATACAGCTTCCTCCTTCTATGATAGCTAACTAGAAAGAAAAGTCAGAGTTATTCTAATAAAAACATTTATACATTGTTCAGTTTATTGCTGAAAAATGAATGCATTAGTCGGTTCTCATGGAAGGAAAGATTTAAGAACATCATCTTTCCCCTGTAGGCATTTGATAGCAGATGGGATAAAACACAAGATAACTTATGGTGGGAAAAAAAAAAAATCAGTGAGGGAATACATTGGGCAACCTAATAGGTTTCTTTCACCTCTAATTTAAAAATGAAGCTTCTGCAGACTGTTCTCATATTTATGTCAGTTTGAAGTCTGCGCACACATCTAGCAGCTGGTGGTTTTTCTAGGCTTTAGCTTTTCGGATTTTTTGTATGCATCACATAATGCAAGAAAGCCTGTTTGAATTGTTATGTTTCTTTATCACCTTTCAAAAAGATCTTTCCTACACAAATCCCTGCTTCCAACATAACCATTTCCGTTTCCTGACTTCCCCATGTGATTGTACAATTCTTCCTCTCCAGACATGGATGCACCTTCTCTGGTCTCTGAATTCCCCTGTTGGCCCCAGGATCTGATTTCCTTAATACAATTTCAATTGTTCAAAAGCTCTCCTATTTAACTTTTCCTTCTCATTCATCTTAATTTCCTTTCAAAACATGAAAACCTTTAGTCCCTCTCATCAAAATCCCACTCTTCATTCTCCCTCACCATTCCCCCTCTCTTCTCCTGGGCTCTTTCACCATTGATTGCAGCCAGTCTGAGTATTCCCCCCTTCCTTCCACTGCTTCTTCTATTTATCTTCCACTGGTTTATTCTGTACCACTGCCCTTTTCAGGCTTTAGTGACCCATGTCTAGCCAGAATTCAAACCCAGTATTCTTTTCTCATCCTTCATCATTTCTGCTGGTTTCATTACAATTAATCTTCTTCATGTCCTGTTGTCTCATGAATTCCATGAATCTTTTGAATCTTTGTTGTCCTCTTATTTTTGGAAGCTGTATTCCAATGTGTTTATCACAAGATCCTTTCTCCCTGTTCCTACTTTGGGTTTGTAAGGACTCAGCTTTTGATCCTAAAATTCAGTTCAAGTTATTTCATTAGCCATTTTAATCCAAATTGTAGCAATTGGGTTTTTTCCCTCCAAATCCATACGGAATGACACATTTCTTACCAAACTAAAGGATAACTAAAAATCACATATGTATGCCAAAAAATGAAACAGAATGTGCAAGTTCAAGCACCTGGACAACAATGGAAAAGAACATAAATATTCATTTATATAGCAAGCATAAAGAGCTATTGTTTTCTTAGTTATTGTTCAAAAGGAGGAAGAAATGAGGTCACAGTGGAAAACTATCACCTGACCTCAGCTTGCTTTCCTGAGCTTGGTTCCCCAGTAGCAGGGCATCTCTTCACATACATCAGCTTTCTATAAGCTGAACTCATTTTTATCAAGTTTCTAAACATTAGAAAATAATTGCTTTTAGTAGTTCCTGCAAAGCAGCACACAGACCCATATAAAATCCATTTTCAGCACACACACTTCTAATACATATACCACTGAAGATCTGCAAAATTTCTCAGATTAAAAATAGACAAAGTAACCTTAGATTTGTTCTGAGTTTGAAACAGAAACATTTCTAAGAATTTCAATATTATTAAAATATCTTTGTATTTAAGTTTTATTGCCTTCAGAAATAGCTAACATCTACCAAAACTGTATTTTAAACCATTTGTAGGACTTGTCTTTCTCCTAAAGGATATATGCTTCCAAAAAAACCCCAAAAGAATCAATATAGATTTTATTAAAAGTGTGATGAATAATATATATGTTCAATCTGTTCTTGGCTAGGTAATGTAAATGTGATGGCAGGAATGACAGACACATATCATATAAATGAACCATTTTCCTATTTCACAGCTTACAGATATATATATATACACACCTGTATATCCATCAGTTAATAGACACACAGAAATTTTGTGAAGACTGAGAAAAATTTGAAATAACTGGTATTAAATGTACAGGTTTGGATCTGAAATTCAAATTCCCATGGTTTGAGAAAACAGCAGAAATGATGGGAATCCCCCCAGCTCCCAGTGCCTAAGCTATTGCTGGGGCTCTGCTAGGCTGCAGTGATAAAATGAGGAATGTATTTATGCTTTATTTTGCACCAGTCCTAGTGGGTTTTTAAGCATTCCTTATAGACAATGAGGAATGTCTCTCTAGATGTACATTAAAAACAAATTTATAAAAACAATGTAGCAAACAATTATTTTTAAATCTGCATTTTTATAAGCTCATTCATGTTGGATACCCTGCCTTCCAGTTAAATGGAATTTACAAGAAAAACAAGCTAAAATAGAAAATTTATCCCTATTACAGTGCCAGACCAGCAAAAATAACTGAGTCACAAAGTAAAATTCAAGTTCTGTACATCACCCTCAAATGAGTGAAATGTATTAATGTGAAAGGAAGCCTGTTCCTCTAAAACACAACATTCTTTAGGCTAGATACAATCAGATATTTAAGGAGGATTTGTAGAGAACTAGAGATTGTCATAATGATCAAGTTCATGTAGAATGTAATCTATTCTGAATTACTGGAGAAAATAACATTTAAAACCAGATCCAAAAAAAAACCCTGCCCTGATATATCATATTATTGTGGATGGTTTTCTTGCAAAAGACCAAATTTTAAAAATACTGCCTGTGAAATAAAAGGCTGTAACTTCCTGCCAGTGACTTGAAATGAAAACTACAAACCAACCTCCAAACACTTCTCCTTCTCTGCTTCCTGCAGCAGTGCAGCCAGTCCTGGTAAGAGCACTGGGAAGATGTAAAACTCCAAGTATTCTCGAGGAGAACCTGAGCAAAACAGGACAGCCTTCACTTACAGCTAAGCACTTGGATTTCACAAAACCACCACCATTAGATATCTTAAAGTCAGTACCAGTCATTCTGTCAATACCATCACAGCTTGGACAAAGCAGATTCATTCCCTTCACAGACAGCCACTGGTCTGTCTTCACTTCTCAACAAACACAACACAAACTTGGGTAAATTTCAAACTAAATGTGCACCAGCACTGCAGACTCAGTGTGCCTCAGAGATGTCAGATTCAGTTTTAAGTGAAGAAACTCAGACACCAGAAGCAGTTTAGTCACAGAAGTGAAAAGCTCTGTGAATTAATTTACCCTGACAGGAAGAAATTAGCCTGTGCTGAACTCAGTGCTGCTGCAGTTAGACCACTTTGGTTTCTCATGCCCTTTACAATCTGTATTATCAGTTAGTCATAAAACTGAATTTCTAGACTGAGGAAAAACCAAAGGTTATATTTTAGTGGTGCTTTGATTTTTTTGTCATAATTGCTTCATACTTGCCAGATCCTTCAGAGATTTTAACCTGACTGCATGTATCCAACCTTTCCCCTCTCAGAGGGCTGTCTGGGTTGGCACCTCTCCCCATTCAGGCAGTATTCAGGTTTTGGTGTGATCAGCAAAGCTTAAATCATACAAATGTTCTCTTCTGGCAACACAGCTGAAACACTGAATTTATTCTCAGCTTTATGCCTTTAATTGGTTCATATACTGCCAGAAAATGCTCATAATTGGGAGGACACTATTTATATAGAAGCCAAGGGTAACACTGCTTCTGACTTGCACCAGGAATTCCTAATAAGCAAGAATTAATAGAAGAGAAGATGAAATGAGGGGCTAAAATGCATAATAAAAACAGACTGCTGCTTGGTAAATTCATTATCAAGTATAGGAATTGATAAAAGTGGAAGAACAAAACTTCAGAGCTGCTTCCATTCTTGTCTGTAAGATGGGAAAAGACAGTATTTTGAAAGCAGTTTTCAAATTCAATTGTCTGCTTAGTCTATTGATCCTAGTTTTGCATTATTAAATCAGAGGAAGAAATGCCTGCCATTTCTGATTTAGGTGCCTAAATAAAAAGTCACTTATTCAGAAGAGCACAGAAGTACCTTAGCTAGTCAATGCTGGTGGTTTGTAATGCATAATTTGGTATTTCTTCCATTGACCAAGTGGCCAAGCTGGCTCCCTGTCTTCAAACCAGGCAAATTCCACACAAGCAAAGGTGTTGCTGTTAATGCTCTAAATTAAATAAACTACAAATCCTTGCCATATGCAAGACAAATAATCACAGCAGGGTTCAAGATAATATACTCAGACTTACATTTTTTTGGATTAGGGGGTTCTCCAGGGGGAGCTTCCCCAAGTACAGATAGCAGATATTGGTCTGCAGGAGGAGAAAAAAGCTCTTCCATAGGAATTTCTGCTTCCAAAGGCACCTGCCCAAAAGAAATGTATCCTGTCGAAAGACCCCAACAGACTAGACAAAAAATATACAAACCAATTCAACAGGAAAAAAAAAATTATAGGGTCAGTTAAAAATTATGGAACTATAATTTCTAATTCAAATATTGTATTATTTATGCATTTTCTGAATACTTGAAAATATAATAATTACACTTAAATAATAATGTACTTAAGTAATAATATAAATAACTACACTTTAAAAACTTCTGCAGTTTCCAGCACAGTAAAATCATCCAAACCTAACAGAAGGTATATGACTCCTTTTGACAGAATATGGTGAGAGATCACAATTTAAAAAATATTTTATCCATTGCAAGAAATAGTAATTATTTGATAATTAATGCTGGTAGCATTTTCTGAATAGGTATTTTCCATTCAGAAGCTTAAATATCTCTTTCACATTGTTGAGAAGACACTCCCGTTTTAAAGAAAATAAACTTTTCTTGTTAGCATTACTCCAGTTGCTTTAAATACAAGCAATTATTTGGAATATTACATTTGTTGGTCCAAGTAAGCTGCTTGAAAAATAATAGTTTTGTTTTCATTTTATGAATGAGTCTACCCTGTGGGTACCCAATTTTCACATTTAGTTGTTTAAAATATTTTCAATCCATCTCTCTGCAGATTTTTTACTTGAACTGTACTCACTGATTCTTGTTTTGATTCAGGATCTTGTTTTGATCGAGGAACATCTGAAAATTGAGGCTGTTCCTCTTCATGCTCTAAAAGTAAAAAAAAAAGTACAACATTTACCAGGAGACCCTAAAAAATTATTTATTTTCCTCCTAAACCAACATTATTTTAAAAGGTATTTATTTAGGTTTGAAAAAACAGAAGTTACTACACAATAAATATTTGTTTAACACGAAATCTAATGTTTTAAAACAAGCAAGAACTTTAGACACTCTTGTCATGTCCTCTCTTGAGCTTTAAGTCAAGTGCAAGGCTCTCACTGACAAATGAACACTTATTGGGAAAAAGGTACCAAAATAAACCAAAATAATAGTTCAAAATATTGCAACAGAAGTAAAATGTACATGCTTGCACTGAATTAACCATTGTTTTTACCAGTAGACAATCCACTTTTCATAGTGGATTCCTCTATAAGCAATTAAATCCCACAGACATTGTTAAGCATTATTGTCTCCACTTAAAAAAAAAAAAAAAAAAAATAAAATAAAATCCCGATGAACTAGAAGCTGTACATGACCCTCAAGGATTACTGAGTGACTCAGGCTGAGACAAATAAAGGCCCAAGACAAGGAACTCGCTGAGAGCACCCCCAGGTCCCACAGCAGGTCCAGCTCCACCATCGCAGCGCGGATTAATGGCACCACCAAACCCTTGGGTGCTGCAGGTGCTTGGCTTAGAACAACCAGCCCTACTCCTACCCGAAAATGGCCATTTTAGTGCAAAACGCCTGCTTTGGGCGTTATGAAGTACTGAAGGAAGATAACCTTGTGGGAACTGCAGAGCTGCAGCGCTGGTCCCTCAGCTTTGCAATCTCAGTGTTCTCGGACTGTGGGAGAAGCCCAGGGCCCCTGAGCACAGATGTTCTGTGCTCATTTAACCTTTGCTAAGCACTGACATTCTCCTCTCTGCCTTCCCCAGGCAGTTCCCGACCCGTTACAGGATGACCTCAGGGCGCAGGGGGCAGCCTGGCTGCGGCACCAGCACACACACAGCGCGTCTGCCGGGAGCGTACGGCGGCGACAGCACCGTAAGGCCCACGAGCAGAACCGCTCGGGGCCCTGCTGCCGGTGGGGATCGGGGCGGCTTCGGGCACTCTGTGGGGCGCGCGGGAGAGGAGCGGGCGGCCCAGGCCGGGGCTGGCCGGGCAGCGGGCAAGGGCAGCCTGAAGGGCCCCGAGGGGCCGGGGAGGCAGCGCGGGAGCCCTGCCCGGGGGGCTCGGAGCGGAGCCGGGGCTGGCCGGGCTCCCACCTGAGCCGTGCCCGCCCTCCGCCATGGCCGCGGCCCGCGCGTTGCCGCGGCAACGGCTCCGGCAGCGCCCGCGCGGGGCGGGCACGGCGCGATCCCTTCCGGGGCGGCGGCGGCGCTGCACGTGGCCGCGGGAGGTGAGCGCCTCACGGCACAGGGACCGGCACGGCCCGGCAGGCATAGGGACCGGCACAGGGACCGACCGGCACAGGGACCGACCGGCACAGGGACCGGCACGGCCTCGGCTCGGCTCGGCACGGGATGCGGGGGCGGCGGGCCGCGGGGTGACAGGGACATTGGGGACATTGGGGACGGCACGGGATGCGGGGGCGGCGGGCCGGGCCGGGCCGCAGCCCGGAGCGGGGCGGGCCTCGGGCGGCCTCCCCCTCCCCGGGTGCCGCCGGTGGGTGGGCGCTGTGGGCCCGGGCAGACAGCCTGAGGGGGCTGTGCTGGCCTTGGGGCTCTTTCCGGGCTTCAACAGCCTCAGCGTTATTATTGTAAATAAGCCTCAGTGATATTGTTGTAAATCAAGTAGGGATAATTGGGTTTCTCAGCAAGTGGGTGCTAAAGGCTTCTCTGTTGTAATCAATTCGTTGGCGTAAGTGTCCTGAGAAATAAACGGAGAGCAAGGATAAGAAATCACCGCTAGAAGCAAATCTAAGGCAGTGATGCAGGTGCCTGGGAAGGGTCGTGTAGTGCTGAGTGGACAGTAAAGCGGTGTAAAGTTCAGTGAAAAGTCACAGGTATCTGGAAAAATACTCTAATTGTATTTCTACATACACACGGATATGTTTTGCTGTTTAGAAAAGGTTTTTGGAGGGTAGGTGTTTCTGTGAAAACTTCATGGTCTGCTGCTGTGAAACAGACAAATAGAGCCTTGGAAACTAAGACAAGGTACACTAAACAGCATGGCAAAAAGAATGACCCCAGTAAACAGTATTTTCCCTATGTGTCTGTGTGTCAGTGTGTTCTGGTTCCCCATCATGGAAAGCAGGCTGGAATTAGAAAGAGTGTTAGGGACAATGGGAGATCAGGAATGGTTTCAGAACAAAGGAAGACCAAGTAGATTAGGAAGCAGTTCACTGACATCTTCATATCCTTTTTTAGAATGATGATAAAGAAAAAGAGAAAAGACATTCATGAGGAGCCTGTACAGAAGAAGAAAAAGGTGAAGACTGTCATTAACATTGAGGAAGATGTTAAAACTGTCATTAAAACTAAGGACAATGGCCAACTCAAGGAAAAAACTAAGACAAGGAAAAAGGAGAATTTAAAAGACGAATGCTTACACAAATTTCAACCAAAGAATAATAAGAAAAACAAGAAGAAGAAAGTTGACTCTGAGTTATTCAGAGAAGATCATTTAGAAAGCTTTGTAAATATAAAAGGTCATCTGGATTTACGACTTCAAAAAGAACCAGAGGAACAAATTAAAATATTCAAAAAGAAGAAAAAAAAATTCCAGTGTCATTTCTCCTTGGAGAATAATGAGTGTAGTGACGTGGAGCTTTCAAATCATCACACAGACGGTACTAAGAAAAATGAATTCTCCTTAAAAAAAAAGAGAAAGCATACTGGTTTGGATTTGGAATTGGATGGTGAGGTAACAAAGAAAAAAAAGAAGAAATGCAGATTTTCATTAGAGGACATTCAGGACACTGAACAAAGGCAATATGCAAAAGTCTGTAAAAACACCCACAAATACACTTCACAAAAAGCAGTTTTTATGGGTGAAGACTATAACACAGGTGATGCCCAGGATGGTGGGGAGAGTTGTGTAAGAAAGAAGAAAAATAAAAAGAAAGATAAGTCAGGCTGCTTTTTACCACTGGCAGATAATGAGAACAACATGCATCCAGTTCCTGGTAGCCCCTCTGCATTAAATGACTTCAGAAAAAGGAAGAAACATAATTCCTGGGAGTTTACATGGACAAGCAGAGAGGAAGAGGACAAAATGAAGAACTTTGGGCATATCAAAGAGAGGAAGAAGAAGAAAAAAAAAGCTATTTATTCCTCAACCTGTGAAGATAAGCCAAACTGCAGTCGCAGCATTCCTGATAAGCATCTCCCAGCACAGCAAGAAGGTGAGCTTGAGGAAGAAGAGCTGTATGGAAAGAAACACAGGAAGAATTTCAAGGATAATAAGGAAGTCAGTAAGAAGAAAAAGAAGAAGATTAAGAAAAAGGAGAAGGAAACAACATACTCAGGAGTTTCTTTAAACAAATACAGTGCTTCTAAAAGCCAAAAAGTACTGCTGGGAAGCAGTAAGAAGAACAAAGAGAGTGAAACAGAGCGAGCTCAGTGTGTTACAGGGGACGCTGTAGATGGGACAGTATGCAGTAGTAATCCTGAACTGTGTGACAGAAAAAGGAAAAAAAGGGAAAAAGTACCACCACAGGATTTAGCTGAAGAACCAGGTTCAAAAGCAGATGCAAAAACCATCAAGACAGAGTCAGCATGGAGTGAGGTAAGTTGAGGAGAGGAGGGCAGCTTTGCCCCCAGCCTGCTCAGGAGTTGAAAGCCTTTGGGGCAGTTCCCTGCTCTGCAGGCTGCTCTGCTGCTGGTGACACTGAGGTGTGGGGGAGCAGGATCACAGCATGCCATGGCTCACAGGACATTCTGAGCTGGAAGGGACCCACAGGGATCAGCAAGCCCAGCTCCTCAGTGAAGGGCCCATGCAGGGATCAAACCCCAGCTGAGCTGATGCTGTGACACCTGGGGAAGCACTGATGCCTGCTGCTGTCATCACACAGTGTTTCAGTTGTGAAAATGTAAATATTACAGCTAGCAGCAAGTATTGGCCCAAAACAGAGTGGGTTTGTACAGTCATAAATGCTCAGTTGCTCTTAGCAAAGTGGCAGCACTCTTCATAAAGCAGGAGTTAAATACTGTGTCATTTACCCTGAGCAGGTGGCAACCCTGGCAGCAGGAGTTAATCTAATTGTTACACTTTCCTCAAGCTTTGCTGCTGTCGCTGCTGGAATTATGTAATGTTAGGAACAAAGGGGAAAATTAGCCAAAACCTGTTGACTAATTCCAACAAAACTTCAGAGAAAATCCTAGGAATCCTAAGTGTAGACTGGGCTAAAGAGTATTGAAATATAAATTCTGATAGAAAGATACTAAAGACCTAAACACACAGTTTTAATTAAAACAATAAATCTATGCAAGAGAATAAATAGATGTAAGAACTGTGTGAATTGTAACTGAGGTAACTGGGATTTTATCCTGACTGACTGGTCAGGAAATCCCACCCCAGAGTCTTGCAGTAGTTGCCATTTCTGAGGTAAAAGGAATATGGGGAGGAACTGATGAAATATTTGAAATACAGACATTTTTTCTGTATCTGATCAAAGTTATGTTTTAAAGCTAAGGGTGCCAAAAGTTAGTACCTACATGCTCAACTTCTGTTAGGAATTAAGATGTGAGATGCTCAGAAAATCAGTAGGTATCCATGTGCATTTTTAGCTGCTTAAACTTTACTTTGAAACCAGCACATTGCAAGTTCCTAGGAGGTTGTTTTTATTTCTGTAGGTAATGGGAAGCTGCACTCCAGTTGCTTTCTATCGAGAATTTTGAATGCTTGGCTTATTTAAATGTCAAGCACTAGTTAAGAAGGTATCACTGAAGATTTTTGCAAGTTAAGGTTGGAGCAGACCATAATATGAGCTGCCTCTCAAGCTCACTTCGTGGTGTGCTTTGCTTTGTCATGCACTCAGATGCAGTTTCCTCAAGTTGTATGGAAGCCTGGCAGCTGCCTGGTGTCTAGTGCTAATAATTAAATTTAGATTCGTGTGGAGACCCAGATACAGGCTTTTTTCACAGGGGTTTGTGAGGGGAGTGTGTATGCTTATCAGTCATGAGGTGAGCAGATGTTTGGGGCTTTCAAGCTGGATTTCTCCTTTTGACCTTTCAAAAGGACAAGGTGGTTTTATTGCTGGATATATTTTCTAATTAAATTGGCATTGCCTTCTTGAGATTGTTGGACATTATTTGGATTTTGCAGCTGCTTACATTGTGTAGAGGTAAGATAAGCCCTACAATGACATGTGAACTTTCATGACCAGTTAATATGGAAACCACAGCAAATACCTTGCAGACTGTTGAGGAGAAGGGAGTAGGGTGATGCATGTTTTGTTCCTCTTTCCCATAGGCAGCTCCTTTAATAATAAAAAAACTACTCAAAAGAAAATCTGAAGATTGAGAGGTCTGGGTTTATCAGTTCTAGTGATTTCTAGTTCCTGCCAGGCAAAAGACACTGCACTAATAAATGGCTGATAACGTGGTCTTGCATTTAACTGTGCCACAGTCCTGAAGTGTTTTAATCTACAGCATGTCACACAAAGCTCTGCATGCCTTGAAAAATCCTCTGTTGGGCTTGCCCTGCAAGTAAAAGAGCAAATTTTAAAGACAGTGTGAAGTGATACCTATTTAATATCAGTGCTTGGCGTTTTTCTCATGGGATGCCTTTGCAGTCAGCTGGGGCAGTGAGGAGGATGAGACTCAGTTTACTGCTTTGATGTTGTTTGCCAGCAGACAGCATAACCTACCACATGTGGATGTGCTCCTTTTCCATGAAGGTGGAGGAAGCTTGGCACGCCTCCATGGGGTAGTTTTTTCCACTCAGTAGCCCTCAGCAGGTCTGCACCGTGCTGGGGATGAGCAGGGACGGGGCTGCTCCCTCCTGCCAGATGAATAGAAAAAAATATGCTGCAGTTGTTTGCAGAGTCCTGTCAGGACAATTTACCTGCTTGTTTTAGTAGATCTGAAAAGACAGTACCAGGCCATCTAGAAGTAAATTGGGGGTTGTTTTTGGTTTCTTCTTTTCTTCCAAGAGCACGAGCTCTCCTTCCTGCAGACAGTGTTCTCGCATTTTTAATGGTGCATGTACTTGTGTGTGTGTGAAAGCAGTGTATAAAAGGTAGCTTTGGAAAATGAGGTAAATCATTGATAGCTTTTAATATAACTGAAGCCTCAAAAAATTAACAGCAGGTTCTGCTGACAGAAGTTGTTACAAATCTTTTCCTT